GGACCTGGCCCGGGGCGGGGGCCCTCAGAAAGGAGAGCACGGCCGTCTCGGACCACGAAGAGCTCGCGTTGGTGCATTGAGAGTGGGAGTATAGCGGGGAGCCAGCAGATCCGCACCCGCTCTCCCTCTAACTAGGAATGCGACGCCGAGCCTGGGGCGGGACACCCCTTGGCAGGGCACGGCACGGGTGGCCTCTCGGCGTGATCCCCTTCGGGCGGGAGGCGGGCTTTTTCCCGATGGAAGGAGCCAAGCCGGACGACCTCCGGTTTGAGGAGCTCACTCACTAGCAGGAGGGGGACAGGCGCTCGGCGTAGGATGCCCTCTCGGGGCTTTAGGGGTGTGATTCCGCCCCCCCCCCCTCCCCTGCCCTCCCTCCCCCCCCCGGGCGAGGGGCGGCGTGGAGCTCGCCTTCCCTCACACCCTCACACCGCGCACGGTGCGGACAGGCTCGCGAGCCCCCTCACTCCGCCGCTGGCCAAGCTCCTCGACGGGATGCTGCAGGCACCACCACACGCAAGAGACACGCGCACGGCACCACAACGAAGCAACACACACACGCACACACACACACAATACACACACACACACACACACACACACACACACACACACACACACACACACACACGCACACGCACACACACGCACACACACACACACACACACACGCGGCGGGTGTGGCGTGGGGTCCCCGGCTGCAGGTGGTGCCGGGGCGGCGCAGCTCGATGGAGCAGGTCGAGGGTAGCAGCTGGTGGGGGCACGGCAAGCCTCACGGGCCAGGTCAAGGGCAGCCTCCCGCTCTGCGCGGCATCGAGGAGCGATCCGAGGGGAACAGCAGCAAGGATAGCAGCGCCAAGGGTAGCCGGCAGGGCAGCAGGCTGGACAGCGGAGCCCGCCCCGCGCCGCTCCGCGTGTCGGGCTCGCTCGACGGCGTCAACGAGGGAAGCGCGGGCGGAGGGGGCTGCTCCTCGCAGCCCGGCCGCAGCAGCGCGGCCGGGTCGAGAGTCTCCCATGGAGTCTCCCCGGCCATGGCCGCGCTCGCGCAGCGGGGGACGACCAACTCTCTCTCCTCGGAGGAGAGAGGCGAGATCAAGTCAGAGATCAAGTCAGAGATCAAGTCAGAGATCCAGTCGCTGTCGACGTCCGGACTCATGCAGGTGCGGCCGGCGTGTGGGGCGGGGGGGCGGGGAGGGGCGGCGGGGGTGGGCGGGCGGGTGGGTGGGTGGGTGGGGGGGCTTCTCTTGCCCAGACGCGCCCAACCCCGCAACAGGTGGAGACGGAGCGCCTCAAGCGCGAGATCCGTCACTCCTTGGCCGCCTCGAGCGCAGCTTCGGAAGCCCGCACCAGCGAGGCGCACTCGCCCAAAGAGTTGCACTCCTCACTCTCCTTGCAAGGAGGGCCGCCGCCGCCTGCCCGCGCCGCCAGCAAGACGCCGCAGCGACCGGCGGTGCGCGGGCTGCCCGGCACGTCCCGCGAGGGAGCTCGCCTCGCCGCAGCCGACTACGGCGACGTCGAGGGGCTCTGCTCGCCCTGCAGCGAGATCAGCGTCGTGCCTCCGTCCTCCGTCTCCGCGCTCTCAGTCGGGACGGTGTCGCCCGCACCGTCGCTGAGCGGCTTCTCGCCCCCGCACAGCCGAGAGGCGTCGGCGCGCGCCCGCCGAAAGCGCGGAGGTGTCCGTCCAGCGGGCGCTCCTGCGCGCACCCGCGGAGCTGCTTTGGATCTAGGCGAACCCGCTGGCGTCGGGCAGCATATCCAGGGACGCATCGCTCGGCCGCTCACAGCGGGCGCTGCGCCAGCCGCCGCCGGACCGGGCCATCCAGGGCCTTATCCAGTCGACGGCGAAGGTCCATCTGCGCCGTCGCTCTGGGGCACGGGCTTGAGCTTCTGCGTACCATTTTCCTCCGTGAATAGGCTTCCCTGTTCCGCACGCCGTCGAAATCGGCGAGGTGAGGCGCTTTCATGTGGCCTCATCATGTGTGTGTCTCTTATATCGTGGTGGTTTGGTTCGCGATTTGAGGGGTGTTGCTGACTGTGAACCGAGTCCGAGAAACAAGTGTGCTCTGATGTGTGCGGCGCACAGATGAGTTTTTCAGTACGTGTCAGTAAAGTATAGCTACGTGTAGCGCTCCCTCCTCCTCACCCTCAATTTGGCAATGATATTCAAATTTCGGAATTATTTCGTTCACGCATTGAGACCCGGCCGCGTGCGGCGAGACGGCATCGCGCGCCACCCCGGACACGGACCCGGCCCACACCACCGCCGCTCTCCACACACGCACATACCGAACGCGCAGGACCACACGTGACATATACACATCGGAGACACGCAGAGATGAGAGAGAGAGCGAACACACAATGTTCTGACGTTGCACAGACACTTGGCACAGATGACAAAAGGGAGCCAACCCGGAGGAGAGCCGCGGGCCTCACGCCCCTTGTCTCCGCCCCAGCCACACCTCGCGCGCGCGATCAGACGGAGAGAGGTGCCGCATTCCTAAGAACCTTTGGCAGCATCGTCGCGTCGAATATCTTCCCCTCGCCCGCCGCCGGCTTTCTTCCCTCCTCGTTGTGGTACTTGTCCTTGATCAGCGACCAGAATGGCTCGACGGAGATGCGCAGGTTGCGGAGCAGGTCGTTGAGCTCCGCCCGCAAGCCGACGGGTGGAGGGCCGGGACCTAGCCACTCCCACTCGGAGGCGAGCGGGTTCGACGCATCCTGCTCGCGACCCTCGCACGCCTACTCGCAGCAGCGCGCTCTCACCGCTCCCGCCTCCTGCGAGGAGGAGCCAAGGTCAGGGCGAGGATTCCTGGCCGAGCGCGTCAGGCTCGGAGCTGACTCTCTTCACGACCTCCACGAGGGCCGAAGGGCCGGTGAAAGCCTGGTCGACCACCGTCAGCTCCCCCTCACAGCTCGGCACCGCGCGGCCGTGGAGCAGGTCGTCGCGGTCGAGCGAGATGCGGTCGAGCGTGACGTTGCCTGCCATGGCGAGCGAGTAGTTGCCGCCTCCGAGGTAGTAGCCCGCCTCTGTTGCCCACCAGTTTGCCGTGATGTTGATCTGGAGCCCTTGCACGACAACTCGTACGTGGCTCGGCTTCGCGCTAAAGAGAGGGTCGAGGGGAAACCCCTTGTTCGACTGCCTGCACGTGCTAACCACCACCCTGCCGATCTTGATTCCGGCCACCGACGAGTTGGTTCTATAGGCAGTCACGAATGGGACGATGTGCTGCTGCTCGACGCCAGGGTTGGGCGGCGTCGGCAGCTCACGCCGGTCAAACATGGTCTGCAGCTCACCGTTCATTGAGTCCTGAAACCACTTGGGTAGGGCGCCCACACCGCCCTCTGAGCACGTGTAGGTCGAGGGTAGCGGCCGCAAAGAGGCGACGCTCTCGCCCGCTTGCTGCTGGGGTCGAGTCGTGGCTGTGTGCAGCAGCAGCAGCAGCAGCACGGCTGAGGCCATGGCACCGAACCAGGTGACGCGGCGGCGGCGCTCGTCTTGAGAGTAAGTCTGCATCGACGAACAGGAGGTGCTGGTGCTGCGCGGCGGCTACGGGCAAGGTGCTGCTGCTGCGCGGCGTGGCTGCGAGCAAGGTGTGCTTGCCGGCTTGGCAGGCTGGCAGTGCGAAAAAAAAATTCGCCGAGCAGCGGAGTTTTAAAAACAGGAACCGAAAAAGAACAAGGAAAAGAAATCAAAGAATTTTACAACAAAACTCCCTCGCACAACACTGGGCTAGCGCACCACACACCTCTCCTTAAAATCCCTGTGTGGTGTCGGCGTGCCGTCCTCCCATCCCTCCCTTGGGTTGTCTGTTTTCTTTCTTTTTTTACACTGGGCACAGGACTGGGCACGGGACTGGCGCGCACTGGCACTAACACAGGTGCGAAAAAAAAGAACATAGAGACTGAGAAGCGGAGTTTTAAAAACAAGAACCGAAAAGAACAAGCAACAAGGAAAAGGAAGAGCGCGGTGGATTAAATAAAAAAGAATTTTCGCGCCAACCACACGATTCACGAAAGAATTTTGGATAAAACTCCGTCGACGTCGCACAACACTGAAAAAAAGAATAACGTGCGCCGGCGGAGTTCGGACCGCGGCAAGCGGCGTGGCGTGGAGCGGTTGAGCATCCCTCCGGGGGGCCCTCTGCGCCGGGGAGGCGTTGTTGGAGGCTAGGACGCAAGCGCCCGTCGCCCTTTTCAAACTCGGGGCCCACTCCGCTACGCTCCGACCCGAATTTGGAGGGCCTGAAAGTTTAAGGTGTTGCTGCGCAAAAGGGGTCGGACACAGGGCGCAGCTCATGCTAATAAGAGCTAGAAGGGGAGCTAGAGAGAACGACTACCCTGTCCCGTTATTGCGTACACCAACACCACAAAAGCTCTCTCTCTCCTGTCCTCACTCAGGGGGGTCACAACTACCGAGTCACTCGACTAGCTGCCACGTTGCCGACCGAGAGCGGATCTCCTCCTGCTGCCTCTCCAACCGCTTCTGCAGCGTCCTTCTTTGCCCGGTGCATGGGCTCGATCCGATTCCGCAGCGTGTCGTCCCCAGCGGCGGTGCTGCGCGGGAGGCGGCCGCGGGCACGCTGGGCTCTCGATCAGCGGCTTTCCCTCCAAGTGCTCTCCTCAGTTGCTCCGAAAGCACGGATTTGGCGGACGTTCTTGGCTTCAATTTTACGCCCCGGCACCAGCTGAAGGCTTGCCCCCGTCCACGGCCCAGATCACGCAGTTTGTGCACGGTATTCGGATTTTGCTATTTGCTCGTATATTGCAGATTTGTCAATGGTTACCGCGTCTGCGACGCGGGCGCCTTGCGAGCAGAGCCCTTAGGCTTAGCCACCCTTTATATCTTGCGCGGTCAAAAAAAAAACCAAGCCCCGCTAGAGGTGCGGGCGAGAGGGCGGCCCGAGCCCGAAAGGGCCCGCCCTCGGTCTTGCTCTACATGGTAACGGATAAGAAGAGAAACACCCCGACATATAAGGATCCGTATAAATGTTGATTCTCGCCCCTCTAAGTACTGTATTGATATTGAGTATTGTCAGCCTCATCTCTAAGTATTGACAATATATTGACATATTGATCGCTGATTTTAACCTCCAAGAGCACCAAATGTCGACATTTGTCCCAAACATCGCCTAGATGTGGGCTGAAATCGAAAAAATCACGAGTTCAGGGTGCGGTGCGGTGCGAGTGCCGTGCGTGTATGCCTGCGCCGCGTCATCCGTACCTGTCGCCTCGCCGTCCGTATCGTCGAGCACCTTGTCGTCTATCGGGGGTGATGTGCCAACCTTGACCCAAGTCAGAGAGTCGGGCGGCTGCTCGGCGCGGTCGTTCTGGTCAGAGTCGTCCTGCGGCGGCGCCGTCTCCTTGATTAGCATCTCCGCCACCACCAGCAACGTCTCGCGGAACCACTTGTAGTTGACAAAGACGCGGTCGAGGCAGGTCGAGCGGTAGGCCTTCTTGATGTTCCACACCACGACCTTGAGTGTCGCCTTCCACGTCGAGTACTTGATGTCGAGGGCAGGGTACTTGGTCTGGAAGTCGGCGAACATAGACGAGCGCACGTCCGAGAGGATGAGCGCGGCCTTCTCCTCGTACGTGCATGGGCCCGTGCGCCGCTTCATCACGTCGCGCTGATGAGGACTCGTCGGACAGAACTCGTGCGCGTGGTCGATGATCGCTTTCTTGGTGGTGTCCGAGACGGCGTCGCTGCGAGTCGCGCGAGGGGGCGGCATGAGCGAGGGCGGCAGCATCTGCAGCCGCGCGCTCCCCCTGTCCTTGCCAGTGCGCGAGGCGTACGCGCGCTCGGCGTAGCTGTCGCCGTTGCGATACGTGACGACGACGCCGCCGTCAGCGGTGAACCGCGCGATCTCGGCAGGGCCGTTGCGGGTGAGCACGCGCGTACCCACGACAAAGGTGGTGCGCGTCAGCTGCTCGGCCGCCTTGTCAAAGGCGGCGCGCCGGTCTATGCTCTGGTCGAACGCAAAGGGCCGGCCGCCGTGCTTCTTGGAGCGCCGCCCTCTCCGCACACCCAAGCGTTTGGCGGTGCGCACAATCATGCCCGACTTGTCGCCCGCCGATTTGCGCGGTGGCGCGACGTAGGCGAGGCCGATCAGGTACTCGCGCCGCTGCTCCTCGGTGGCGCACGCCTTGTTGACGGCGAGCGCCGCCTTCACGCGTTCGACGATGAACGCGTTGGTCTCGGCGTCAAGCGTCTTCGCCGAGTGGAGCAGCGGGCGTAGCTCGTCCTGGCAAGGCGAGGGGCACACGCTCTCTGAACTTGCGCGTGGGTGTGAGGGCGGCTGCGCGGGGAGCGGCACCTCCAGCTTGAGCTCCTTGATCAGCGCAAAGAGGAAGTGGACTGCATCGGCCGTGGAGCCTTGAGCCCAGTACTTGACGGCGCCAACCAGTCCGCACCGCCAGTGGTGGAGTGCGCCCTCGGCGCCCTTCGGCAGCTTAGATGGCACGCGCCCCTGCTTGTCGGCCGAGAGCTCCACACGACGCTGATTGAAGATGCGTCCCTCCTCCTGCCGCCAGATGTCGACAGTATCGTACCCAGCGTACTCTCGGCCTGACCAAGCCGGCTTCTGCCGCTTGCTGGCCTGCTCCTCAGGTAGAGCTGCCTTTGCTCGCGCGAGCGCCGCCTCCGCCCGCTTGAAGCGTGCCTCCATGGTGCGCAGCGTGGCCTCTGCCAATTGACGCTCAATCAGCGGCGCCATTGCTCCCGCGCCAGAAGCTGAAGCACGGCGCCCGCGTAGCCAGGCGTCCGCCTGCTCGATGGTGATGGCCTCGGGATCGGACTGATCGTCGATCCACTCCGTGAGCTGCTGTAGCTCCTCGGGCGTTGGGGGCTGCGGCGCCTGCGGCGTCGCCTCCGGCGCCTCGATGCCAGCCGCCTTCAGCTCACCCGTGGCCCACTTGACTGCCTCGCGCGCGGCGGCGACGAGGGTCGGCCGTTCACCGTCAGGCTTGGTGACGGCAAATCGCTTTTGCTTTCGCGGCTGCAGCTTCAGCGTCACGCGCACGCCAAAATCATTGGGCTTCCGCGACCCGGCTTTGCCGATGGGCCTCGCATTGATGTTAGTATGCGGCATGCTCTCCAGGTCCGCGAGTAGCGATGCGAAGTCGACTGACTCCATCTCATTCGTGAGCAGCGCCTCTTTCTCGGAAGGGTTGGGCGACGGCGGCGGGGAGGCCATATCGAGCGGAGCGGCGAGTTCGAACACCTGTTTGAGAGCGCTTGTGTTGCCGTGCGTTCACGCGATTTTGGTACGCAACAAAACTAACTTTTCAATCGCGAAGTTGCTTCGAAAACTGAGATGTGGCTTCGAGAGAGCTCGCTGAGAGCTTTTACATGGTGTGCGAGCCGTTTTCTGGCTCCTACGGGAAGGCTATTCCGACATTTCCACCCGTTTGCTGATCACCATGACCTCAGCCAGAGCCCACAGCGCACACACAGCCACTCTACAGCGCACAGGCGAGAGGCGTCAGGCGCCGGCTCAACGAGCGTCCTCGAGCAGTCTGTGGGAGAGCGCTTCAGCGTCTCCGTCAGACTCACGCACGCGGATCTGGTGTTTTCACGTAAACTTAGAGTCCTTTCACGAGAGAGCCGAATGTCTGAAACGAGTCACAGACACACAAGCTACCACCCCCCAAAGAGAGAAAGAAGGTTCGGAGAAGGCTCCTGCGTATTGGCACGGTGGCGACAGCACCATCATCTCCAGCCAAAGCTAGGGATGGAAGGGATGGGCAAGGGGAGGGAGAACGTGTAGCCACCCAGCAGTTGCGTGTGTACACGCATGCACGTCAGCTTTGTGCCGTTTGGCAGCAGCTGCTGCGTGTCGACCCAGAGCTCGTCGATCTGCAGCGCAAGGCGACGGGAGGGGCGGTGAGGCGGCGGGAAAGGGTCTGGTGGAGTGGGTGGGAAGAGGCGGTGCGAGAAGAGGCGGTGACGGAGGCTTCAAGGGGAGGGACGCCTGCAGGAGGCGAAGCTGGTCGAGGGGCAGCACCGGCGGCAGCCGGATAGTCACGTTCGACTCGATGATGCCTTTGGCGGGCGGGGCGGCGGAGGGGTGGGGCGAAGGGGAAGGCAGAGACTCGCCTCCTCTCTCGACAGCGCGGCGCCTGGCTGCACGGGGCACGGGGAGCCCGGGAAGTCAACACCACCCAAGCCTAGAGGGATGTCGATGAAGCGAGGCTCGCAGGCGTCGCCAGAGAGCCTACAGAGCGGCCGCCACGGTCGGAAGAGCGGCCGCGACCGCCGCCCGCGCCGTGTGCCGGGCGCCAGAAAGGGAAGCCCGTGGCGGTGGCGGCGAAGGTGGACCCAAGCGGTTTGACGGCGGACTGGTTGACAGTGAGCGTGAGCGTGAGGTTCTCGCCGAGCGGTAGCGTCTGCACGCCTACGGAGGGAGGGAAGAGAGGTCGAAAGCCGTCAATGACGTGTGAAGAGGCCCTGACTGTCCGTGATTGCGACAGGTACCCGGGATCGTGTCTTTGTGAAGAGAGTGCTGCTGTTCACCCTGGATGCTCTCGACCAGCTTTCCGCTGTTGGTGTACCGCACAGCCAGGCCGATGAGGCGAGCCTCGTAATCGCTCTCCTCGTCCTCCTCCGAGCAGTCTTCCCAGTCCAGGGTGAGTCGCACACCAGTGTCCTCAGCAGAGCGGGACGCGTCTTCCTCGCTTGCAACCGCCGCACGGAATCCCCGCACCAGTGAAAAGGCAAAGCCGCTCGCCAGCAGCGCGGCCGCTGCGAGCATGGCTCCGCGGATGCGTCGCACCCCACCAGGTGAGGTTTGCATCCGACTCCCGTCTAGCGGTGTCGGCGGCGCGATGCGGAAAGGATAGCCAAAGAAAGGTGTCGGCGGCCCGCCCCGATGCGCCGGAAAGGATAGCCAAAAAAAAATTCTGCTTTCCTGGCCGGGTTGCTGCGCAAATCTCGCGTTGCGCTAGGCTCAGAGCGAGTTCGCGCTGCGCTTGGCTCAGACGGCGTGCGCGGGCCGCCGGGGTGAGGACCTCACCTCCTTCGGGCTCGGCAGCTTGTCGGGCCGTGGCGTCTACCTCAGCTCCTCACTGGGGCGGGGTGGGAAGACCCGGTTTTTCTTCACCCTTTTACTTCCCACCGCCGTTTCGCGAACGACGATACTCCGGACATCGCGTGTCGGTACAATGGGTGCCGGCGCGAGCGGCGCCGCTGGGAGCAAGCAGGCCAGCATCCCGAGCGCCCAGGAAATCTTCGATGCGATCGACGAGGACAAGAGCGGTCAGCTCACCGTCGCTGAACTCTCCGCTGCAGCTAAGACGCATGCCGACAAGACGCGCATCAAGTGGACCGCCGACAGGATCGAGAGAGAGAAACACTGTAGAAGTGGGATCCAACACACACGCACGGCAATGGTCTGTAGACCCCTGCTCAGGCGCGCGCAATCGTCTGTGCTCAGGATCGAATCACTGTTTGCAAAGCTGGACGCTGACGGCGACGGCCTCCTCGACCCGACTGAGTTTGGAAGTGGCATGGCGGAAATATTTGGCCCTCCTGAGCGAGTCAATCGGCGTGGTAATCGGCGCGGAGCGCGGCAGCAGCAGGCCGCAATGCTCGAAGAGGCCAAGAGGGCCTCTGCTGCCGCTGCAGCCTCGCTGGAGGCGGTGGGAATGACCGGCCCGGCCAAGGAGCCGGCAGGCGAGGCTTCAGAGAACACCCGCCGAGACGAGATCAATGCAAAAGTTCTCGCCGACTTGGAGTCCGAGCGGGAGGCTGCGGCGCAGGCGACGGCAATCGAGGAGGCAAAGAGCGATGCAATGAAGCAGATCGAGGTGCGGCGCCTGAGGCGCAAGGAGGCTGCGGCGGCGGCGGCGCAAGAGGCAGCGGAGGAGGCGGCGGCGGCGGAGGCGGCGGCGGCAGCGGCGGAGGCAGCGGAAGCCGAGGAAGCCGCGGCGGCAAAGAAGGAGGCCAGAATCGAGGCTATTGAAGCCAAAAAGGCGTCGAAGCAGAAGGAAGTGCAAGAGCAGAGGCAGGTGGCGGCAGACAAGAAGGCAATGGCTGAGATTGAAAAGGCGGCAAAGAAGCAGGCGCTCAAGGAGCTGCGAACGGGCGAGGCAGCGCAGCAGATCTCGGAGGCGAGGAAGGCGAGGGAGGAGGCGGAGAAGCAACTCGCCGATATGGAGGAGCGTGAGGAGGACGAGAAGCAGCAGCGCGAATTCGACGAGGCAATGCGAAAGGCTCAGCGGCAAAGCAGGGCCATCGAGTCGAAGCTGGGCATGGTGGCCGCGGAGCAGACTCTTGTGGCTGCTGAGTGATGCTGAGGCGCCGCTTGGTTCGAGATTTCAATTAAATCGCAGTAAACGAACGGGATTTTAATATTGCAGAACCCCCTCTCACAACACACACACCCCCGCCCTCCTCCACAGATTGTCTGCGGCCGCCCAAGATATCAAGGTGTGTCGAGAGTCTTGTAGCCCCCCGCTCCTCTCGACTGATTGGCGCCACCCTCTTCTCTAGACTCCTTCCTCCCGGAAGCTCCGTGCGTGGGCAGTGCGGTGGGAGCAGGCAGCAAGTGAGGCGAGAACACGCTGCTGAAGTCGCCGCTGGCAACCATTGATGACAGAGCGGACGCGCCACCAAGGCAGGCGCCGTCCAGAAATATGAGCGGGAAAGTCTTTTGGCCCGCGATGTCCCAGAGAGCGTTGCGGAGCGCGTGCATCTGGGTGTCAGCCGCGTTAATGCGGGTGTAGCGGACTTGCCGCGCGTCTAGCAGCATGCGCACGCGTGTCCAGTCATCCTTATGGATCAGATTCTGCGTGGCTGCCCGCGTCTCCGGCGCGTGTAGCCAGCAGCCAGGGGTTTCCCGATGCCATGCCTCAAACTCGTCGCGCTTCAACGGCGCGAGTCCGGCTTCTGTCCGTTGCAGATTGCATCGATGCCAATGGATCTTGAGATCGTTTTCGGTGCTTGCCGCCACTCGTTCAGATGGTTCATAGTACATGACGAGGACTAAGGGTGGCAGAGGTCATGCGACAGGGAGGGATGGGTCTCTATGTGGCAGAGAGAGGCGATGGCGGTGAGGAGCACCTTGTCCGAGGAACGGCGCGAGGAGCTCTGCGCGCTCCTGATGCGCTGCCGGCTGGGTCGATGCACGTCGGATGGTGACGGAGCGGGTGTACGTCCTTCCTGCACGTCGTTGTTCGCCGGACATGCTTTGCCCGAGTGCGAACGTGCTGAAGTCAGCGCGGGTCGCCGAGCATGCGCGAGCGGTGGAGTGCGAACGACCAACGTTGACAACGTCCGTTACGTCACGCACAGAGACTGCATTCGATCCCTGATGTGTGTGTGTGTGTGTGTGTGTGTGTGTGTGTGTGTGTGTGTGTGTGTGTGTGTGTGTGTGTGTGTGTGTGTGTGTGTGTGTGTGTGTGTGTGTGTGTGTGTGTGTGTGTGTGTGTGTGTGTGTGTGTGTTGAGGGCCGTGCTGACTGCTGTCTGTCTGCGTGCTTTGACCTCTTTTTACGATTTCCTTTCACTTTCCCGCCCGGCGCTACAGACAGCGGTGTGCGGTGTTAAACTCACTTTATGCCTAGCCGCGTCCCGCATATGTCGAGTGTGGGCCTCGACACCGGTCCATTACGCATTGGGTTGAAGCACGTGCGACGTCTAAGCTGTAAGCATGCGATCCCCGACCCACCTCGGCCTCGCTCGCCGACCGGCGACCCCGGACCCGCGTCCCGCGAGCGCCGAACTCAGGGTGTCACCTCAGCCGCTCAGGACTCAGCCCTCACCGCTCACGCGATGCGGTGACGGCGACGCCGATGCTAGATCCCAAAACATGAAATGAAAAAAACGAAATATCATGTGTTGTGATTTATATCTGCGACTTCGTGAATATTCAGTCATCCTCGCGCCTCCGCTTGTTCCGCTGCGGCCTGCGCGCGCAGCAGCCGGTTCAGCTCCTCGAGCGCGTCCGCCTCGTCCTCGGAGAGGCCGATCGGCCGCTCCGCGCCGTAGTCCAGCGCCTCCTCGGCGAGGCCTCTCAGCCGCTCCGTCTCGCGCAGCTCGATAATCTCGATCGCGTCCACCTCGCTCAGCCCGATCGGGATCTCGGCGCAGCCGGCCGTCTGCGCCCACCCCTCCTCGGCCAAGGACGCGAGCCGCACTGAGGAGCGGAGCGCCTCGAGCTGCGCCGCCTCCTGCTCGCTCAGGCCGATGGCAACTTCAGACGACATCGCCTCGGACGCAATGGCGGAGAGCGCCTCGCTACGATCCAGCTCCGCCTCAAGCTCCCGCCTCCGCTCTGCTCGCTGCAGCCACCTCGCCGCGATGACGTCCGCCGCCATCGTCCGCCAACGCGCCTTGGCGTGGGCCGCTGCCGCCTCGTCCGGCCGCGGGAGGCAGGGCGGGCGGAGGCACAGCAGCAGCTGCCGCACATCGATGCCGAAGAGCTCGCTGCACGAGTCTGCGATTCCCGGGCCGCCGTCGCCGCCGCCGTCGTCGCTGCTGGCGCCCCACAGGCCAAACGTTAGGCAGTTCGCCAGTGACGACACGCCAAAGGTAGCTTCGACCCCGGTGTGCGCCTCGGCCCCCTCCCCGCCAGATTGTTTGCGCCGCCGCTCGTACATCCCCGAGCGCCCTCCGCGCTCGCGCCTCGCCTGCGCTGCTGCGGCGCGTGAGGCCGCGCGCGCCCTGGCGTCATCGTAGCGGGCGCGGTCCTCGGGGGTGCCAATCTTCGCGTACGCCTCGCGGACCGCCTCGAGGCGCTCCTTCATCAAATCGCGCTGCTCGTCCGTGATCTTCTTGTCGACGAGCCTGTCCGGATGCATCGTCTTCTCCAGAGCGTGGCGTGACCGCGTGATGTCGCGCTGCGTCGCGTCGGGCCGCAGGCCGAGAACGGCGTACGGATCATCGCCGAGGGAGCCTGAGCGCCGGCGTAGCTGCCTGGGTCCCATGGCGGACACAAGGGTGTGTCTCCCCGTCGACCGAGCTTGCACTTGCCCGCCCTGTCGAGGCGCCGCGGTTTTTTTCTTTTTGCAAAAAGAGCCGATGATTGATTGCGAGCGCTATTGCTCGCGATTGGAGGCATTTTTGCTAGGATTGTGAGCTAAGCTGCTCGCAACCCTAGACTTTGCTCGGATTGCAAGCGCACTGGCAGTAGTCGTAGGCGTCACCAGTCGCCTTGGTAGCGGAGCTGCTCTTAGTCCTAGAAGATGTAGGATTGCGAGCTTAGGCGCTCACAATCGCACAGAGAGCTACGATTGCGAGGGGTGCTGCTCACAATCCTTCGACTTCTATGGAGCGTTCGCCCCGCGCCGCGTAGCTACTACCAGTCAACCATGCATGGCCAACCGGATGGAGATGTTCAAGAGCCAGAAGCCCTCGTCATTTGACTGCGAGTCTCGACTTCAAGAAGATTTCCGGCTTCAACTATGTGCTGTCGACGGAGGACGAGCACACGCACGACTCACTGAGCTCTGAGATCAGAAGTTAAATAAAAACGGGAAGCAAATTGCGTGAAGGTAGGTGGGAGGGTCGGGAGAGGGGGGGTCTTGCGATTGAGCACTGAAGCCATCGCTCAGGAGGCAGGTTGAGGGCCCAACTTCAGAATCGTGCTTTTTTGGTTACCTGGTAGGGACCAAAGCGCGAAGGACCACTTTTGGGTTAGGGACCGCGGGCGACAGGTTAGGGACCGATCGCCGCCGCATACGCCGGCGGACGGCCACCATCGGTGTTTTTGGCTTCGCCACCGTTCAAAGCGTGCGCAATGCGCTCGCCGACATCAAGCGAGCACGCCTGTCCGACGAGCGGCTTCCTGTGCGGACGGCTTCTTGTGGCTCTCGTCGAGAGCGTTTTGCGACCCGGCGGGTGGGAGAATATGTGTCGTCTGATGTGTCACTGTGTACGTCACATCGGTCTTGATAATAAGCACGGTCGATCCGTCGAAGCGATACACTCGTTCCTATCACGTTGGACGGCTGGCACGGGAGCTCTGTGCCAGCAACAGGAACCGAGCCGTACGGCAAGAAGAGCTCGATGGGGAGCGAGAACCGTCAGAGGAGCTTCAAGGGTAACCTGAAGTCCTCCGTGACGCGCTCAATCGCTCCCAAGCGGGTGGCTCTCGAAAACCGTCGATATCTTCCGGAAAGACTGCTCTTGCCGAGCAGCCGATATGCCCAGACGGAGGCGCAGAAAGGCTGCGAGTACTCAACGAGTTCCGCGACCTATGCAGTCAAACCTGGGGGGAACTGACCGCACCATGGCGGACTTCCGAAACCTCCGTGAGCACCTCTGACGGTTCTCGCTCCCCATCGAGCTCTTCTTGCCGTACGGCGGTCTTCCTGATGCGTGCCGGCACAGAGCTCTGTGCAAGCCGTCCAACGTGATCGTGACGAGTGTATCGCTTTGACGGATCGACCGTACTTGTTATCAAGACTGATATGACGTACACAGTGACACATCAGACGACACATGCTCTCCCACCCGCCGGGCCGCAAAACGCTCTCGACGAGAGCCACAAGAAGCCGTCCGCACAGCAAGCCGCTCGGTCGAACACGTTGCTCGCTCGATGCCGGCGAGCGCATTGCGCACGAGGTAGACGGTGGCGTAGCTAACATCACTGACGAAGACCGTCCGCTGGCGTGAGCGGCGGCGATCGGTCCCTAACCTGCGGTCCTTCACCGCAATCGGTCCTTCGCGCTCGTCCCTAACCCAAAAAAGCACGATTCTGAAGTTGGGCCCTCAGGTTGATGTTATTGAATTTAACTTGAGGGCAACAAAAAATATTTGGCGATCGATACCCGCGCGCGGCAAATTCCATAAAGAAAACACAGCGAGCCCTACATTCTTCTGCCAGCTTCGACGAGTAGGAATGCATCGCCGACAATTCCTCTTGCTCCTGTCGGCCCTGGGTGCGCAGTCCGCGGTGATGCTGCCCGGCGTGGCCAGCTACTCAGCCGCGCTGCTTCAGCATCCGCTCGAGACGAACGTCCTCACCGCCGTCGCCATTTCGGCGGCTGGTGACGCCATCGTGCAGCGGAGCGAGTGGGAGCGGTCTGGCAAGCCGTACGACACCCCACGAGCGATAAGTTTCGTGTTGTTTGGAGCGTTCTACCAGGGCGCCTTCAACACGCGCGCCTTCCCGTGGATCCAGGAGCACTGCCAGGGCGATGCCCTGCAGGCTCTGGCAAGCAGCCTCGCTCCCGACGCCGCAGCCCTCGCGGACCCGTCACTCTACAGGGCGGTCGAGTGCACGGCGTTCAACCAGCTGCTCGTCGTGCCGCTCGTGTACTATCCCATCTTCTTTGCCGTCACCGGGTGCGTGCAGGGCCTCACTGCAGAGGAGTCGGTCGAGCGCGCCCGCGGCAGCTTTGTCGGCCTGCAGCTGCGCAACTGGAAGTTCTGGTGGCCGGTGCAGCTGTGCCAGTTCGGGTTGCTGCCTCCCGAGTGGCAAGTGCCCTACGCGTGCGCGATGGGCCTCGTGTGGAACGTGATCCTAAGCGCCGCGGCCGGGTCGGCTCGTGAGCCCGACGACTCCGAGGAGCCCGGGGGGCCGGCTGTCGGGGTGGTGGTCCCCACGCGGCAGCGCGGGGCGGCTCAGGTGCGCGCCGGCAAGATTTTGGAGGGCGGCGGCGTCGGGCTGCGGCAACGCGAGAGGCGGACATAGTCCGTCGCATTGGTCGTGGTCGTTTCGCATCCATACGTGATAAGTCAATACGAGAGACCGAGTGGCGGTGGCAGACGGTGTATTCGTACAGGGATACGGCTCCATGTACTCCATAGGTGTGTGCGTGAGAACTGTTAATATTGCGCCTACCCCTCTCTTGGACCTCTCATAATTATTATCGTGCGCTCGAAGCACTTGGAGTGCGGTTGGCGATGGCCGGCCGGGGCGGGCACACACACATCAGCGCCCGCCGCGGGCGCGGCCGGGCGCCCGCGCCTGTCTGTGTGCTGTGAGGCTGTGGCTGAGCGGGCCACAGGAGGAGCAGGAGACCCCTGAGCTTTTCGGTCCCCGAGATCATGTGACGCGGCCCCGGCCCGCGGCCGGCGCACACACCAGACACAGGCCCAGCGCGGGCGCGGCCGGGCGCCCGCGCCTGTCTGTGTGCTGTGAGGCTGTGGCTGAGCGGGCCACAGGAGGAGCAGGAGACCCCTGAGCTTTTCGGTCCCCGAGATCATGTGACGCGGCCCCGGCCCGCGGCCGGCGCACACACCAGACACAGGCCCAGCGCGATACCCCGGAATGCCACATGCAGAAGAGAGACACGGGCACGTCGCTTCACGGTGAAGGGGGTGAAGCGATCGCGGTTGCGCATGTCGCATGTGCGGGGGTGGGGTGGGGGGGTGGGGTGGGGGGGGGGGCTCCGCCGCCGCGGCGCCACCCCACTCTCTATGGCACAGGCACAAATACAAAACAGTGGCTTACTCTCCGGAACTCAACGACCCGGATGACTCCGACCACGACTCCTCGTCCCGCAGCTCTGCGTAGCGCCCATCGTCGAGATCGCAGACGGACCACGGGGGTCTGCTGTGTTCCACTTGGCTATGGCCCGCCCGCGTGGCAGCCGCCCCGGCGCCCCCGCCCGTGCGGCGTCGCTCCTCCCACGACCGCCAAGCGTCGTCACGGCTCATGTCACGGCTCGGTGCGCTGCCGCCCTCCCGCAAGGATGCCAGGGAGGCGGCCCGAGGTCTCCTCCCCGCGTCCATATCGCTGACCCGTCGGGGTGCAGGGCGGCCTTCCTGAAAGGAATCGGTTCGCCTCGCCCTCGAGAGTCCGTGACGCGACACGCGCGCGGAGGCGGGCTCGTGTGGAGGCGCGCCGCGCGCAGCTGCCACGGTGTCGTAAAAAAAGGCGCCCGACACGAGCGGCAGGGAGCGGAGCGGGAAGCTGGCCTCGACCGCCGTGATGCGGCGCACCATCGCCAAGTCAATCAGCCCGACGAGGGCGGTGATGAGGAGGGAGCAGTAAAGGTGCGGCGACGCCTCCAGGTAGGCGTAGGCAACGGTGGTGAGGAGGAATAGGTGAATCGAGACGCGAAGCAGTGTCGCCACGAGCTCGTGCTCCACGAGGATGCCATCGACAGCGATGTTCATTGAGCCGTCCGGTCCGCGCAGCGCATATCCGGGGCCGAGCATCACGACTGCGGTCGTGCCGAAGCAGACCTCGAGAGCGACGCACATCGTCAGGATGTTGGTCGCCACGTAGAGGCCCTTTTGCAGCTCGCCGGCGGTCCTGAAGTAGGCTTGGTCGGTGTAGAGCAGGCCGAAATAGCCGAGCCCTGCGATGATCGAGCCGATGGTCCCCAGCGCGCGCAGATTCTGGACGTAGAGGTCGAGCTCCCGCTCGCGGATCCCGATGAGCCGCACCTTGGTGTTGTTGCCGAGCGACTCCTTTTGCGCGAATAGCATGCAAAAGGGCGAGCGATTCTCCGGCGCGCAAGTCGGCCCCCGCCACCGGCGGGGTCAAGAGGAGCAGATACCGCTACGTTCTGCGGGCAGGCTGTCCCTAGACGCCGCGAGCGTCGCAAGAGAATTGTGAGTTCCGGCGCAAGGGTGGACTAGCCAGCCCAGCGTGTGTGTGTGTGTGTGTGTGTGTGTGTGTGTGTGTGTGTGTGTGTGTGTGTGTGTGTGTGTGTGTGTGTGTGTGTGTGTGTGTGTGTGTGTGTGTGCGTGACTGTGTGCACCTGCCCAGCCAGCAGCGTGAAGGCGGGCCCCTGGTCGCTAGCCAGCCAAGCGGCTGTTCTTCACCTTCCTAAATAATTAAGCCCAAGTCACGTATAGGCCACACCCGTTCCCTCTCCCCGATCGTCCTCCCAAGACCCTTGGCCTTGCTTGCTCCGCAGCACCGCGCGGATTTCCCGAGATTTTCTTTCAAGAAGGCAGCTCTTGGTCATGGAAGACCGACGCGAGCCGTCGGGGCTGCCCACTTCTTTATCTCAGCGGGCTTCTGACTAGATGCGCGCAGTCCTAGAGAATTTCTAGCAACACCAAACAAATCTAACACACACTCAGGGCACCACAGCCGATGGATGGAGAGAGGTAGAACAGACATGCAGCTTGCAGGGCGAGCGGACGAGGGAAGGCACTTTGCGGAGAGCAGCAGGAGGCATTACGACGAGAGCAGGAAGGAGCAGCAGGGGGACCCCTGTGCCTGAGGGACAACGTGGACGACGGCTTGACCTAGGGCTTGACGGCAGTGCTACCGCTTAGCGCTTTAGTCCCCCGGTCGTTAGGTGGACGGCCCAGTGCTGACAATCAAACACTCTACGGCCAAAACAATCAAATGGTGGTAAGATTTACCACGACTTCTGAGGCAAAATCTGACAAAAATCGGAAAAATCGGCAAAATACCCGGTATTTTGCCACAATTTGGCTGAATTTGGCCGCAAACCAGCCTCAGACTCGGCTCAGATCCCGAAAATTTGATGATTCCACGGAGTTTCGTAATTTACCATACCACTCTCTGCTCATACCATACCACTCCCTAGGAGAATCAAATAAGTGGTAAATACCACTCATTTACCAGTAAATCGCCAGCACTGGGACGGCCCCGGCTACAATAGTGTTCGCCGACGCCACAACCCGCACAAAAAACCGCATGGGCGGGGACCAGCTCCTTTACCCAAGGAGTTGTGGTTTTGATTTAGTGTATCTCGTGCGTGTGATACCCGTCTGTGTGTCGTGTGTCTGCCCGCGGCGTGGGCGGTGGCGGGTGGGGCCCGGGGGCGGGCGTCCGCGCCCCCACAGGTGCGCAGCCCGACACCGCGCACGGGGCACGGCCCCGCGGGGGGCTCAGAGATCCTCTCTAACGCCCGTCTAAAAGTGAAGGCGCTATGTGCGAATTACCGAATCAGAGAGGCAGAGCGCGATCGCGAGAAAAATACAAGAAACTGCTCCGACCTCCGTGCCTTGCCTCTGTGCAAACTGTGGTGCGATTATCTGGCCACGAAGCGCATGGTTGTATCTCAATGGGGCACAATACACATGCAGCGCTGGCCCACGCGCCCTGTAGTGTGTAGACCCTGCAAGGCCCTGCTCCCACTGCATCCAGCTCGCGTCTTGTGTGGCGCGCGCGATTCAGTTCTCACAGAGGTGTGCGCTCGCAGATGGCCAGCCCCGCCACTCATCAGACATTCTCGCTAGCCCACAGATCGAGAGACTGGTACGGCGGCGCACTGGCGAGGGGCGTGCGCTGGTCCTCGGCTCCAGCGGCGCTGGGATGCGCAGCCTTGGAGGAGGCCGCGGGCGGCGGCGGCGGCGGCGGCGGGATCGCGGGCCGTAATCGAGGGTTCGGCGTGGCGCCCGCATCCAACGCCACACGCGCGAGCTCGAGCTCACTCACCGGCTCCAGGCCCTCGCGCGCGCCGCCGCCGCCGCCGCCGCCTCCTGGGGCCCCGGGCCTGCCCGGCTCGGGCCCTCCGGCGAGCAAATCGGCGAGGTACTGGGTGGTGGGCGAGTCGATGTGCGCGAGCCGAATGCGCAGCACCGCGGTGATCGGCACGGCGAGCACCATCCCGGTGACGCCCCAGAGCGCCGCCCACGTCATCAGCGAGAGGAGGACGACCACGGGGTGCAGCCGCAGCGTCGAGCCAAAGAGCATCGGCTCGAGCACCTACCGGAGGCGCACAGGACGGGTCTGCCGCGCGGGGCCTCCGATGCACGGCGCGGGCGGCGACGCGGCCGCACGTTGCCAGCGAAGCCGTGCGCCGCCAGAGGGAGCGCCTTGAGGGCGGAAACGGCGCGCCGGTCAGGGAGGGCGCAGCGGCGGGGCCGCGGCGCAACGGGCGGGGGAGCTTTGCCAGGGCGAGGACGACTTGCACCGGCCCGAATCGCTCGTCGAGCAGCACGACCGGCATGGGGAGCAGCACCGCGACCAGCGTGCCAACCGTGGGCACGAAGTTGAGCCAGAAGCCGAGCAAGCCTGCGCGCGGGGCCGAGGCGGTTGGGGCGGGTCGCGAGGCGCGGGTGAGGAGGGGCTGTCCGCGATGCGGGCGGGAGGTGTGGCGTGTGGAGTTGCGGCGCAGCTGCAGAGAGAGCTGGGGGTCAGGGGCGTCGCGACACCAAAGACGAGCCAGAGGTCCACGCCCAGTGCGGCGAGCGAGACGGCGGTGGCGAGGCCGACCAGTATCGAGACGCCGATCTTGCTCTTCAGGTAGGAGCGGATCGCCGCGTCGCCGTGGGCAGAGGTGCTCACCCCGAACGCGCTGTTGCGCCGCTCGGGCGGCGCCGGGGCGACGCGGGAGGACGCGCAGCTGCTGCTCGCGCCGGCGTCGTGGGCCGGCCGCTCGTTGTCGTCGAGTCGGCCAAAGCCGGGTGCGTCGTGGTTCGGGGAGGAGCCGAGGAGGAGGTAGACGGTGAAGAGGAGGACGAGGAAGAGGTTGGAGAGGACCTGTTCACGCGGCGCGCGGCGTGACCCGCGTCCGCCCACAGTCGCACGGAGAGGCGAGGCGGGAGGCACGTCCACGAGCGAAGTGAGCACCGACAGGATCATGTCCCCGACCGGCACCTTCTTGGCGAGCTCCTCAATGCGGGCAGGGTCGATGAGCGGCGCCGCCGCCGTGGCGTTGGCGTGCGCGAGCGAGCCTCTCGGCGACGTCATGTAGTGCTGCCAGCTGATCTGCATGTCGTCCAGCCAGCTGACCAGCGTCCGTGCGAGCAGCTGCACCCGCGCGGTGTACTCGGTCGCCTTGGAGGAGAAGGTGCGCACAGAGTCGGCGACCACAAAGCCGAAGAAGGCGATCACGGCGCAGGCGACCACCAGCGCGACGCAGACGGCAAGCCAGTACGGCAGCCGCACCAGCAGGCAGCTCTCGGCGACGGGGCGCAGACACGCAGGCACGCCGTCGAGGTTCGGACGCTGGACGCAGCAGCGCCGGCCGCAGCAGAGGAGCGGGCGGCGCGTGAGAAAGTCGATGAGCGGCTGAAGGATGTACATGAGCGAGACAGCGAGCACGAGCGGGATGAGGATCGCCTTGAGGTAGTAGAGGCCGGCTGCGACAACCGCCAGGCCGCAGAGGAGCAGACAGACCGTCCGAAGCCGCTCCTCCACCTCGCGCTGCTGCCCAGTGAGCGACGTGCGGAGCACAGACATCGGCTCGTCCGCGACCGTGGTGAGGCGGCCGTAGGTCGACGTCTTGCCCGGGCTGCTTCAGAGGGTGTGTGACTCCTTCGAAAGGTGACTCCTCGCAGTGTTGTGAGAACCCGTCGGCCGAGACTCTCTCTTGATCGGTCTCTCTCTTGATCGAACTCTCTCTGATCGAGAAAGAAAACACGCTCCGAGCGGCAGTCGCGCGCCACACCCCTCGGCACGGCAGTCGCGCGCGAGCAGACGCGCAATAATTGGTAAAAAACATTCTTCGGGCGCGCTGCACCCCTGTCGATCAGAGATTTTCAGCACCATTGTTTTCTTTCTTCTTACAAAGGGCACGGGACTGGTGCGCACTGGCACTAACACAGGTACACTCGAATCTAACCCTATAAGTCCCACCGCCACCAGTTTCCGACCGTCCCACCGATTCGGTCGTTTGCACCACCAGCTCCGCAAAGAGCCCAGCTCCGCCCAATGGCCAAGCGACGGCTGAACCCGGACGAGATTCGAGCGGCCGTGGAGGCGGGACACCCCCCCAGCTCGGTCAACTACGAGACCGACAAAAAATGGCATGCCGGGCAGAATCGCTGGCTCGCCAAATGGAAGCAACGCCGGCTCCCCGACAGCGGGAGCAGCCGGCGGGACCACTGGGGCGATCGAAAGCAGCAGCATGCGCGGCTGCTGCGGGCGGCGGAGAATGAGTCATCTGCCTCCTTGAAGCGCCAGCGCAAGGCCGCAGCGACACCTGCCGTGACACATAGCGGCCGTGTGCACGCTGGCCCGTCACGGCTCAAGAGGCCAAAGCCGCCGCCAGAAGGTGGCAACCAGCAGGCGTACGAGCTCGCCATGGGCATGTATGGTATTGCTCGCGACACCCGGAGCAAGATGTCGAGGCGGACCAAGAGCGAAGACGCCGAGCGCAAGAGGGATGCGCGAGCGATCACGGCGATGACGACAAGTGCGAGCATTGGTTCGGCGACTACACAGAGCGCCGCTGCTGGAGCTGCCGGTGCCACCTCCAGCCAGACGGTTCCTGAAGCAGGCATGCCGGGGGTGGCTTTGCCTCCCATCCCTCCCCGCCCCACCCACCATCACCACGCGGCTTCCCCATGGTGCATGTGCATGTACATGTTGTAGGGCCGCAGGCAGTCAAGGCCGCCAAGGAGCGAATGGAGAGGGAGCGCGAGCGGTCGCAGCGGCGGCGTGATGTGGCAAAGCTCAAAGTTAGACAAGCTATTATGAGGAACGCACGCGGATTCGGCGGCTCGATGAGCAGGTGCTCAAGGCCGTCGATGAGGCGCTGCGAGATTCTGACTATTGGCGGACCACTGGCTTCTTCAGCAGCGTGCGAGGGGATAACTACTATGACCATTGGCTGTGCCTCGCAATCAAGGAGTAGGCCGCTTCGCATGAGCCGGATGGCTCGCAGCAATGGGATGGCTGTCGGAGGACCACCGCTGCACCCACGCTAGACTGCGCTCCACAATCAGACACTCCTCAGTCCCCTCCCCCTCCCCCTAGTGACCCCCCCCCCCCCCACCACCACAATCCGGAGAACTCTCGCACTCTCAGGGCTTTGAGCGGTCTCGATGGCCAGCTCTCGGGCCTCTTGTGAGAACGCGTGGGCAGGCGGGGGGCCAGGGGCCGGCGGGCAATCTCAGCGGCCGCCCAGCGGGCCCATCAGCATGCCCGTCTCCGGATCGTGCGGCGGCATCGCGAAGGCCGTGCCCACGAGGCAGCCGGAGAGCGAGCGGAGGAACGCGGGGATGCCGAGGACGGGGTTCGCGACGAGCTTTGCGACGGCGTCGAGGATGCACTCGACGGGGCCGCCGGGGCCGACGACGCCGCACGTCGAGTAGTAGGTGAGGCACACGACGTTCGGGGGCACAGCCGCCCCAATGATGGCTTGGATGGTGTCCGCCAACGTGTCGATCGGCGCGTCGCACCCATCGGGCTTTGTGCAGATCGGGTCACCGACGATTTCGTTGGAGCCCACGAGGCAGCGGCGGAGGTTGCGGAGGAACTTGATGACGAGAGCAAAGGCGATGATGGTCTTCATCATGGCTGCAGGGCAGGACGGGACTGACGTGAGAGACGGCCGCGGGCGAACGTCGAGTCGAGGTGCTGCGGCTGGCGCGCAGAGGCTGGCCGGCGCCGGGCTGGCAGCGTCGAGAGCTGTTACGGCGAGTGGGCCGCTGGGAGGCTAGGCGCGGCGCGGGGGCGAGGGCAGACCAACCTGTTGATGCCGCGGTGACGATTGCGAATGAAGCCCGACGGTGAAGAGAATTCTCGGCGCTCACACGCCGAAAGTCCCCGCACGACTGTTAAAATGAACTCGGGGCCACAGGTCGCCCGGCACAAACGGGGCACAAACGCCATGTGTGTGTGTGTGTGTGTGTGTGTGTGTGTGTGTGTGTGTGTGTGTGTGTGTGTGTGTGTGTGTGTGCACCCAACTTCTGTTCAGTCGACGCTCGTCGTCCATCCACCCCCCCGGCAGGGCTATGCAACCGTGACCAGTGTGTGCTGTCTGCGCCTGAACCAGGTGTCAAATCTGCTGATGCGTGATCTGTGTGTGGGCTGCTCCGAGAGGCGTCCAGGCAGTGTCCGACGGGTAGGGAGTCTGTGCCCGGGCGGTGTCCGGTGCGGAATCTCTCTCTGATCCCGCCTGTGATAGCAAGCGGCGGACGGCCTGTTGATGGGGATGCCGGTGTCGCCTAGTTGCGCGGACGCCCCCCACTCTTTTGTTTAATTTTTGATAACCTAAAAAAAGAAAGAAGAGAGTGAACCCAAAGGGATGGGAGGACGGCACGCCGCCACCAACAGGGATTTTAAGGAGAGGAGTGTGGTGCTAGCCGTCGCCCACCCTTGGGCGTCTGTCTGTGCCTCTTCTTATCTCTCTTCGTAGTCCCTCGCCGATTCTCGCAGCAACCTTCATGTAGGAGGCCCGCGCCTGCCCCCGTGCCGCCGGGTGCAACCTGTAGAGAGAGAGGAACCCCTGGGACCCTGTGTGTCGTGTGGGTGAATCCTGCCTGGCCCCCTCCGTGTCGCGATGCGCCCCCCGCTCCCGTTCCCCTGTGTCCCTGATCGTCCTTAAGATCCTGCTCGTGCAGGTGGGGACCCTGTCCTTCTCCCACCCCTCGTATGTTTGGCGTGTCCGTTTTATTTATTTATGGCTCGCAGGATCTCTGCGAGCGACCGCGGAGAGCGCGAGAGCAGTCGCTGATCCGACGTGGCTGCGCTCGTCATCGCACGCTGGAGCACGTCGCCCGCGGCTGCGTTCAAGCAATTGTCGAGTCGGTCCCAGGAGGCCGGCGGCTCGAAAGGCTCCGCCTCCTCAGCCAGAGACGCCCAAGAAGGCTCCTCGCCGGCGAGGAGCGAGGCGGAGGCGGCGGCGGAGGAGGAGGAGGAGGAGGCTGCAGAGGCTGCGGCCGGGGGAGGAGGAGCCCCACCTCGGCCGAGCTGCTCTCTTTGGGCGTCTGTCTGTGCCTCTTCTCGTTCCTATCTCTCTTCGTAGTCCCTCGCCGATTCTCGCAGTTCATGCCACCTCGCGATCGTCCCACTCTCGTCGTTCTCTCTCCTATTTTTTGAGCTAGCTGGTAATTCTTTTTTCCTGTTTGTAGCTACTTCGCGCCGCTCGATGCCGCTCCACGCGAAGCGGACGCTCGGCCTGGTCGGCCTGACTCTGCTCGCTGCGCTGTGCGCATACTCGACTTCCTGGTCTGCCGTCCATCCTCCGAGAGACTGTGGGGCAGCAGGCAAGCTCGCCGAGGCCGAGGCGCGCGCCACGAGCGCTGAGGCGCGGGCTGCCGCAGCGGAGGCCTCGCTGAAGCAGGCGGAGGCTCGCAGACGGAGCGCGGAGGCGGCGGCGGCGGCGGCGGCGGCGGCGGTGGCGGCGAGGGCGTCGCCTGTTTCTCCCGATGTGGCGGTCGGCGGTGGCCCGTCGCCGTACGTGCACACGCTCGAGTCGATCCCCGCAAAGGAGGGCGACCTGATGATGATGACGTACGCGACGGGCGGCGTGCGTGAGATGCTGCATAACTGGGTGCTCCACGTCGAGCGGCTCGGGCTGCCGGTGCTCGTCTCGGCAATGGACAAGGACGCGGTCGCGCTCGCCACCGAGAAGAAGTTCCACTGCCTCGACTGGTCGCACACGGCCGCCGCCGAGGACACGTCGTACGTCCGCGGCTCCGAGGCGGGCTTCCGCGCGCTGGGCGTGCGCAAGCTCGACGTGCTCCTGCCGGTGCTGCGCATGGGCATCAACGTCGTCCTCTCGGACGTCGACTGCGTCTGGTCGTCGTCGCCGCTACCGATGTTTCACGGGAAGGTGGCGGGGTTCGAGGACTTTGCGGCGGCGGACCTGCTCGTGGCGAGCGACTGCATGGACCCGATACTCGACGTGTCGGTCCGGGACCCCGGCTGCTACCACGACTCGGTCGACAAGAACACGGGCGTGCTCGCGGTGCGCGCGACGCCAAACGGGATCGCGGCGATGGCGGAGTGGAAGGTGCGCCTTCAGGTGGGGGAGAAGAACGAGCAGGACCAGACGACCTTCAACGACCTGATCGACGGCAACGGGCGCGGGCACCGGTGGGGGATGAGCAACGCGCAGCGGTCGGACTTCAAGAAGTTCGGCGAGGCGTGGTGCGGCTCGCACAAGACAAAGAGGGGGTACAACAAGCTGTGGGCTGGAGGGGAGGACCCCGAGACGGGCGGCGCCGGCGACGCGTCGGTGGTGGCACGCGGCCGCACCACGGAGGGCTCGCGCCGCATCTTCGACGTCTGCCTGCCCAACGTGTCGAGGCACGTCCACATCGGCACCTTCCCGGTCACCGCCGTGGCGGGCGGCCATACCTTCTTCGTGCAGCAGCTGCAGTCGCCGACGGCGACGTGGCCAATGGCGGTGCACGCGACGTACCAGTTCGGCGACACGTCGGACTACGCGTTCGGCAAGCGGCAGCGCTTCCGCGACTGGGGCATGTGGCTCGTGGACGAGGAGGAGGAGTACATCACTGGCCCGCGCCCCCCCCCGCCCCCGAGGCGGCGGCGGGGCGGCCCCCGCGCGTCAGCCGGACGGGCCTTGGCTGTAGGCTCGCGCTACCTCGTGCTCGAGGAGGACGCGCCCCTCGCGCCGCGCGAGCCGTGGGTCGGCTTCAAGGACTTGCACGCGCGCGGGCGGCAGCACGTGTCGCACCTCGAGCGGGTGCGGCAGCGGCTCGCGCACGGCTTCGCCCTCGCCCGCGCCCTCAACCGCACCGCGGTGCTGCCGACGCTCTGGTGCTACTGCGACAAGTTTTGGCACCGGCTCGACAAGTGCGCCATCCCCTCCGCCACCGAGTCGCAGCCGCTCCCCTTCGTCTGCCCGCTCGACCACGTCATCGACCCCTCCCTGCTGCACGGCACGATCCCCAGCCGCATGCGCCGCCCCCAGCGCGGGATGCAGGCCAGCCGGGCGGACGGGCCGTGGGAGGACGGGCTCCCCTTCCGGGGGCGGCACTGGCTCCGCCAGCTCGGCGCGCACCCGCGCATCGGCTACTCCACCGCCACCCTCAGCACCGCGCCCCCCGGCGAGGCGTCTGTCCCGATGGAGGTTCCGCCGCCGATGCTCTCCTCGACGCTCTCCTCCGCCGCCCTCCCGCCCGAGCGCGGCGGCGCGCGGCACGCCTTCGTGCCTGGCTCCGAAGGCCCGCGGCTCGTGCTGCCGGCGAGGAGGCGCGCCGGCGAGCTGCGCGCGGCGCTCAAGCCATACGACCACGTGCGGTTGCTGCGCGTGAGCCTGAGCGACGCAAGCGCGATGATCGGCTGCTACGAGGGCGCGCAGGAGGCGCACGACACGGCGCGCGCCCGCACACACCCGTGCTCGCCCTTCCCCGGTGTGAGCGGCCAAGGGCGCACGCGTGTGGGTGGCGCACGTAGGCGCAGCTCACGTCGCACATCTTCCCGCACTCGTGGTGCTACCGGCCGTTTGAGATGACGCCCGAGTGGAGTGCCGTGGCGGCCAAGGGTGCGCCCAAACGCGGCACGGAGCCGTGGTGCGTGTGGGGCTTTGCGAAGCCGGCAGTGCCGGGCGTGTGCGGTGCGGTACAGCCGGTCAAGCCGGCCGACGGTGGTGGGTGAGACTTCTGAATTCGGTGTGCCTGTTCGCGGCCGGGCGAACGACGTTGGCAGAGTTTGCTCTTTGATGGTGTGTTGGAAGGGTAGAGATTGTTTGCTTCTGGACGCATGCTTGCCTGCGGCGAGGGGCGGTTGCATATAAACGTCGTCGAAAGTCGAAAGACCGGGGCAGACAGTGTGCGTGCCAAAAAGAAACTTCCGTTAAATGCCAAAAAGAAACTTCGCGAGCTTGCGGCGACGCGGAGCTTGTTGTCAAGCGCTCATGGCGACACCGCACCAGCCGTGCTGGGATGCGTGGGACAGCGAGGACGCCTCCTATTTCGACGCCGTGTGGCGCGTCGACTTTGTCGTGCACATCTTCACCAACGGCCGCGTCGCCTGCTCCATCCTGCCCGTTTCGACTGTCGACGGCGACGAGGTTTGCTCCTCCTCATCGCCGTCGGGTGACGGCGACGAGGTTTGCTCCTCGTCATCGCCGTCGGGCGTGGAGCAGCTGCTGACCGTCGTCGTCACCAGCTCGCCGGTGCAGTCGAATCCGAGCACGCGCATGCTCCTCGAATGCCTCGCATCGCTTGACCGCAACGCCGGCCTCGGGCGCTGCCGCAAGCTGATCATGTGCGACGGCTTTAAGGTGCGCTCGCGCAGCCAGCGCAAACAGGGCGTGATCACCGACGAGGAGGTGTGTCGCTACCGGGCCTTTGTCCAGGAGGTTGCGCGTCTGTGCCGTGCTGACGCCGCCTTTGCGCGCACGCGGCTGGTGCGGCTGGCGAGGCGTCAGGGCTCGGCGTTTGCAATACGCGAGGCGGTGGAGGCGCATGTCCGCACGCCCTTTGTCATCGTCGTGCCGCACGATTGTATCGTGGCTCGGCCCGTGAAGCTGGAGGCCGTGGCGGCGGCGATGCACGCCTCTCCGACCGTGCGCTACGTCAAGCTAGCCTCTAGGACAACAACTTACGCGCAGACAGCACTCTCGCAGTACGGGGTTCGCCTCCGCCCAACCGGTTTGTGCGAAGGCTATGCGCTGCTGCCGATGCTGCGGTACATGGACAACGTCTCGATCGTCTCGGCGCCGTTCCTGCGCGACACGGTCTTCGCGACCGGTTCAGGCGTCCGGCGCGGCACCTTCATCGAGGACACGTTCGGCAAGCAAACGCAGATGAAGGCGTGGCTCCAGTCGGCAGCTTTTGCTGCCAAGCAGCCACCACCCAACGGCTGCTTCCTCCTGCTCGACGGCGTCGCGGAGCCAATGATGCGCCACCTCGACGGCAAGGTTTACCTCGACCCGGAGCAGAGGGCGGCTGCGGGGCTGAGGCCGTACCCACACGACTGGACCGCTGCTCTGCGGCAAGGGGAAGACACTGCGCGGAACGACGTTGAGCCGCTGCGCGCGGCCGCCGCCACCGAGGAGGGGGCACTGTTGACACAGCTCGCGCCAGAGGAGGGGGACGCCGCGCCGGTGAATGCTGGGGCGACCGTCTCGCTGGCGGCAGCGGCGGGAGGCGCCGTGGCCAGCGGGCTCATAGCTGCCGGCCGCGTGGCGCCTTCACTGACTGCCATGCTGATGCTCGCGGGCGGCGCTGCTGCGGCCGCCGCGCGGGCGGCCGTGGTTGGCGAGGCTGAAGGTGGAGGCGGTGGTGGCTGCAGCAGTGGCGCCAAACCCGCCGTGAACGGCGACAGAGGCAGCGGTGGCGCTCCTCCCCGCCCCGCCTTTTTGCTTACGCCGATGCGCGACGCCCTCTGCTGGGACTCGCTCTCTGCTGGCGGCTGCGGCGCACAAGCTTGCTGCAAGCTCAAGCCGACGCACGAGGGACGGCCTGTGTGCGGCCGGCACGCCACCTCCCTCCTCGAGCTGTGGGGGCGTCGTAGGCGGCCTCCTTGCGCTGGCGGGTGCGGCGCGGCACACCCGACGCTGGCCGAGCTGGAAGCTGCCATCCGCGAAGCGCTCCCCGCAGGATCGCGGATGCATGCCCGTGAGGTGGCGCCTCCGAAGCTCGGCTGCGGCGAGGCGCGAGGAGCCCGCACTCTGTGGGTGGTGTCGCCGAGCAGCGTCTCGAGCGCTGAAGTGGACTCGGCGCTGGATGCTCGCTCGCCGATGGCACTCCGTGTTGCCATCGACGTGGGCTTCGACGACCTGATGTCCGACGGCGAGCGCAAGTCGCTGGCGAGCCAGTGCGGTCTCTGCCACAGTATCGCATCCCAGGCTGAGCACCGGCCACACGTCGCACTCGCGGTCTGCTGCGGCACGGGGGGCGGGGAGCGTTCGCTCTCGCTGCTGCGCGCCGCGGGGCTCGAGCAGTGGCAGCCGCTCTCCTGGCAGGGCGGTTCCTCCGCGTCCTTGCTCTCGATGCCGGGCACGAGTGTTGACGATCTCGTCTACCTGAGCCCCGACGCGCCCGACGTGCTGTCCGAGCTCACGCCCTCCGCAGTCTACGTCATCGGAGGCCTCGTCGACCGGCACAAGGTTCGCGGGGCGTCACGTGAGCGCGCCGCCGCTCTCGGAATCCGTTGCGCTCGCTTACCCTTGGCCGAGCATTTGCCAGCGGATATGCGTGGCAAGTCCAACGCGCTGGACGCCCTCAATGTGAACGCGGTTTTCCGATTGCTCGTCGAGTGGAGCCGCAGCCGCGACTGGACCGCTGCAATCGCGACCGCGCTCGATGGTGCACAGCGCCACTGCGGCAGCGCTTCCGGTCTCATTCACCCGCACGGGTTTTGGGACGGCCCGCGCATCGCAAGCCAGCACCAGTACGATTTACACCTCAGCGCAGCGCTGCTGGCTTTCTTCCGAGCAGAGGGTGCCCAATCGGTCGTCGACCTCGGTTGCGGCATGGGCAGCTACGTCCGCCACTTCAGCCGCGAGGGCCTCCGCGCTATTGGATTCGACGGGAACCCGTCAACGCCCCATCTCTCGAAAGGCGCTTGCGGTGTCCTCGACTTGTCCGTCATCGCCGAGGTGGAAGAGCCGTGCGACTGGGTGCTCTCGCTGGAGGTGGGCGAGCATTTGCCAAAGGTTTACGAGGCCGCGTTCATGGAGAACCTCAACCGATTCAATACTCAGGGGATGGTGTTGAGCTGGGCGCTGGAGGGCCAGGGCGGCACAGGGCATGTGAATGAGCAGAGCAACGACTATATCAAGGCCAAGATATGCGCGCTGGGCTACGTCAACGATGCGAACGCGGAGGCTTCGCTTCGTCAGGCAGCCCAATTTGCGTATTTCAAGCGAACAATCATGGTGTTCCGCAGGACGGCATGGCAGGACGGCATGACTCAGGGGTGATGTGCGGCTTGAGCCTTGACTGTCTCTTGTACGGCTCTATATAGAAGCTCGAGTATAGAAGCCAGGAGCAGGACGTCCCACATACGTTGTACGAGAGAGTAAATCTCCAGTGAGCAATGCCAGTGAGAGGCTGAGAGCAGTGTCTTCACCTTTTGAGAAACTGAGAGAGATACAAAATGCGCCTGCGGGCGGACCCTCACAGATCACAGTTCACAGATCACTCGTGAGAGCGCTGTGACCTCTGGGAGTCGTGTCTCGCTGTGTGTGTGTTCAGAGAGAGAAAAGCGCGCTAGCGGACTTGAGTACGTACGGCCCCGGCCAGACTTTTTCTTACCTTAAAAGCTTAGTCGAGCGATGTGCCAAGCGCAGCTGCCAGCGCTTTCGCTTGCACGGGCAGCGGCCCAGCCGGACTGAGTCCCAGAAGCTTGTTCGCCTGAGCAACTGCGGCGCGAGTGGAGAGGGACTGCGGCACGCCAAGCTCCGTGTGTAGGCGCGCCACGTGCTTCTGGAGCGCCGCGAGCGCAGCGAGCGCCTGGTCCGACCGAACGAGAAGGGCACCTGTGAAGCACTCGGCTCTTCTTAGTATCATCCTCGACCACAATGCAATTTTCACACAGTGAATTGTTTTGCCATGCGGCGCAACGCCAAGCAGCTCGCATGCGGAGTTCAGCGCCTATCGAAGACGGTTCGTGTCAATGACTAGGCGTGCGGAGCGCGCTGTTCACTTGACTCAATCACCGCGGGGAGCGTGAGGCTACTGTCAAGGTCGAGCGATAAGCGGAGTCGAGCAACCCGCTGCATCAGGCCGCCACCGCCAGTGTTGCGGGCACCCTCGAGACTGACCGGCGGTGGTACAGGCGATGCCTTCGCAACATCTGAGGTTGTCGCCGAATATGACATCGTCAGGGAAGGCGGCGGTCTTGACGGTGGCAACGGTGGTGGCGGCGGAGGCGGAGGCGGAGGCATAGGCGACGGCGAAGGAGGTGGCGGCAGAGGCGGAGGTGATGGCGGCGAGGGGGGTGGCAGTGGTGGTGGTGGCGGGCTCGGCTTGCACCACTGGCAGTCCTGACATTGGCACTTGGTGCAGTGGTAGGTAGCAAAGCTGGGTGCGCACCATGGAGCACAGGCAAGGGTGTCTGACGGTGCGGGCGCTGCAGGCGTGTCGCCAACTATCGGCGGTTTGCACTGACTGGCTTTTGCATGCGACTTGTGGTGGTGTGGCTTGTGGTGGTGACCGTGCCCACTTGTCGACATAGCACAGAAGGCACATGCTCTGCACTGGCAGCGTTTGCAGTGGAACTGCGAATCCTTGGCGAGGCAGAAAGAGGCGCAAGTTGCGGGCCCACGGTCGCCATTCAGAATAGCCGTACATGGTGCTCCCTCCGCTAGAACAGCTGATGAGGGCGTGGCGCCAAGCAGCAGGGGAGCGAACAGCATGGCTGGCAGTCGCGTAGGGTTCACTCGAGCAGCGCAGCGCGCCACACAGGCAAGTGACCGGCTGTGCCTGCGGGGACGCCCCGGGTGCCGGGAAAGCGCCCGCCGCCAACCCGCATTTCTTTCGTTTTAATTTCTTTCGTTTTGTAAGATTCTTTCGTTCGATCTGGGTCGGGCCCACCCTGTTGTGCGGCGGAGTTTTGTTCTAAACTCTTTCCAATTTTAATTAATCTGGTCCCTAGTACGCCTAAACCGAAACGCTCAACCACCTCTCTCAACACGCCAGCACGTCTGCTGTTGGCCCAACGCTGCCCCCCAGGCTGGAGGGCCAGGCCTCCGTTCGTGCTGCTGATGAGTGTGGTGTGTGTGTTGAGATGTCATCGGCGCCAAAGTGAAAAAATGCGCTCGCCGTCTCGAGCTTGCGCTCAAGGTAGTGGACCTGCTCCTGCAAGTTCGCCACATACTCGGGCGGCACTGCATGTGGCACTGGCACCTGACGCGGAGTTCGCGCCTCTGGCGAAAGCTCGGCATACGGAGCTCGGCGCTTGGGCGGTGATGATGTCGAGACTTCGTGCAAGCTGGAAATAGTGGTGTTGGGCGAACGGAACGCTCTGCCACCCCGGACCGGGTCCGCCGACTTGGGCCGCTGACTCGCAGCCGGTGCCGCTGCCGGTGGTCGGAGCGCTCTCTTGGCCAGCTTGGTCTTGAGCTCTCGCGCCCGCTGCTCCTCTTGGGCCACGCTTCTTCTGGCGCCCTGTAGCTGTAAGGTCAGGTGGCGGACCTTGTTTGTCAAAACGCCAACCTTGCGCGTGTCTTTCGCATGGCGGTCCTCGAGGTTGCGCCGCTCGCCAGCCAACGCGGCCTCTCGTGCCTCGACGGCAGCCTCCCGTTCTTTGAGCTTTTGATTCTCTGCCAAGAGCACAGCCGCCCTCGAACGCCACTCACTGGCCGAAGATGCTCGGGCTTCAGATAGCAACTCTGCAAGTAGAGCAGCGCGCGCCTCTGCGTCGTGGAGGTCGCTGACCGACTGCTGCACCTTTGCTGTGCACTCCGCCTTGTCCAGCTTTGCACCCTGCCTGGCCAGCATCAAGGAGGAGCGCAGCACGGCAGAGCGCTGCCGCAAAGTCTGCTCCAGGTGCCTGCGTGCCATCACCTCTGAGCGGAGCCCCTCGACCTCTCCCAGGAGGCCGTGCGGGGCCGCCTCAAGGTCCGGCGACGTTTGGATGCTTAGCCTCCGGAGGGCTGTCCAGTTTGCCGAAGAATGCCTCGCCAATGCTGCGGCCTCCTGAGACGCTGACCCCTGTCTCACCGCCTCCTGAGCCCGACTCTGCTCACGCCGCGCCCTTTCGTTGGCATCGACAAGTGCGGCCTTGGTGGCCGCAAGCGATTCGGTTAGCTCTATCATTGACGGGACGACCTCGGGCATCTTCAGCGTTCTCGTCTTCAACGAGCACAATATCGGGCGCGGGCCCTGGCGTTCGACACAGGGCTGTTACGACGTCCCCCGACACACATCTGGCTGTGTTGCGGGAGGCGCTCGCAGCAAACGCGACGCCCGCGGCCCGCGGCGGGCGGAATCACCGCAGTTGGGCGTGGGTGGAGGAATGGGTCCCCGACTACGAGCGTCTCGCGCGCGAAGTGTGCACCGACGCCCTCTTTCACTTTGACCAGGATTGGGTGGTGGAACACAACCTCGCCCGGCAGCCGCGTACACCTTGAGCACGGTGAGAGCTGCGCGCAGAAGCCAGAACGGCGCGGAGAAGTAGTTGACATTTGATCTCCTTCTTCATGTAGTAGTGCCTCCTTTTCGGAGCAGCATTGTGATGGAGCACGGATGGGTGCGCGTGCGGCTGCGGGGAGTGGATGGGTCCGGCCCCATACGCGGGCGGGGCCGCGGGGCGGGGCGCGGAGACGACACCCCTGACAGCCAGACCGCGCAACAGCCCAACGACAGCAACACACCCGTCACCCCCCACCCGGCCACGGGCCAGGCTCCAGGGGCCGGCCACCGGTGCGCCGGGCGTCTCTTCGCTGGGCCGGTCGACCGCGGGGGGTCCGCCCACCGCACCACCGCGCGCGCGAGACACCACACCTCGCATCTCGACAGCGTAGAACTAGTGGCGTGAGTGAGTGACGAACGACCAGTCGTAAATAAAATTGACTACGGTGGCCAGCAACCAGCTGCCAGCAACGGGGCCTGCTCCCTTCCGTGGGAGATACGTACTCTGTCTGGCACTGTGTGGATAGCCGCCGGCGAGCTCGCTTCTGTCCCCTCTCAGACTCTCACTTTCGCCGGGCGCAGACCTGCAGGTCTCCGCGGCTGTCTCTGCACACCCGCAGCTCCTCGTCGACGTACAGCACGTCGAACCACCCAGAGCCAACGGGCGGCAGCGGCAGCTCGAGCGCACGCCACCTTGCAGCGCAGCTCTGAAAAACGAAATTGACGCGCCCGCCGCTCGCCGCCGGCTCGCACGTGGAGCCGACGCGAAGGAAGCCGCCGTCGAACTCGATTGCGTTGTCGAGGGAATACGCCCACGGGCCCGCGCCGCCCTCCCTCGTGCGTGCGATGGCTTGGTATGCCGCGGTGCAAGGCAGACCGAGGAGGCCGCGCTTCGTCAGTGCGAGCAGTTCGCTCTCCGTCGTCCAGATAATATCCCACGTGCCGCAGAGGAGCGGGGAGCTCGCCGGGTCGGCCGTCGGGGTGAGAGCCGCCAGCCGGTCCGAAAGGTCGCGCACGCGCCGAAGGTCCTCTGCCCCGGCTTCGGCGCCGAGCGACTGCCCGCCGCATGCCTCGAGCAGCTGCGCCTTGAGCCGCCTGCGCTCTGCGGCGCGCGCGAGCGGTGCGAGCGGGGAGGGGAGGCCAGCGGGGGCCCGCGAGGACTCCGAAGGCGTGGCGCGCGTGAGCACAAAGAGGTACGAGTCGGCTGCCTCGCCCTCCTCGCGCGAGAGCAGGCCGAGGTCGCGAGCGGTGGAGCGGCCGCCGTCGACACCCGCGCGGACAAGGCGCGTGTCTTCGTCCGTGTACGTCAGGAGCCACGTCCGCTCCGTTCCCGGCGGGAAGGCGACGGGCGGGAGGCGGAGGCCGAGGATGGAGAAGGTGATTGTCTGGAAGGCGACGCGCAGCGCGAGAGGCCCCCTCGGCTCAAAGGTGGCGGTCAACTGGACAAAGAGGGCCGCCCCAAGGAGCGAGAGCTCGTTTGTGTACGTCCGGCTCGGCACGTCGACGCGCTGGAAGGCCGCGCCGCGCACGGGGCCGAGCGCCCCGTTGCTGGGAGGCGGCGCGTTGCTGTAGCGCACCTTCCAGCAACCCTGCAGCGCCTCTAGCGCGTCGGCGCCACGCGCAGGGTTGCGCGCCTCGAGAAGCCGGCACTGCTCGTCGATCAACCGGAACTCCGTGTCCGGCACCCGGAGGGCTGGGTCCCCAAACGGCTCGAGGAGTGCGAGGATACTCTTCTTCAAGTCGGCCGTGCCTGAGCTTGGCAACGGGCCTCCTACGCTGCGAGACGCGAGCTCCTGCACGATTTTGATGCCGCGCCGCGCATCGTAGCCCGCCACGGGCGCCTGGAGGCCGAGAGCGAGGAGCGTGAGCATGCAGAAATTTCTTTTTCTTTTCCCGTTAAAGAAGGGAACGGGGGCTGATGACAAGATATGCCGCGCGAATTTTTTTTCGATTTTCGCGATTGACGGCCGACACCCGCGCTCACCTCGGCTCCGCTCGGCTCGGTGCCACGATGTCGTCCCTCGCCGATCTCAGCGGCTCGAGAAATTTGGAGGAGAACTTGCTTCACCCGTCGGACCTCGCCGAGGCTGCGCGAACGACTCGGCAGCCAAGCATCCTCTCGCCACGCAAGCGCCTCCGCTCGCGCGGCACGCTGCTGCTTGTGCGCACGGTCACGGCAATCTCGCGTGGCTCCAGACCGCCGATGCTGAAGTCGATCCCATCGGTCATGGAGCCCGAGCAGCAGAATTCATACGCCGCCGCCGAGCTCGTGGTGCCGCCTCCTGCGCTGCTTGACGGCTCGCGCCGCATGTTGGCGGGAAACAGGCTGTACGTGCTGCTCGTGGCCGTGCCTGTGGCGCTGGCCGCAAAGCCGCTTGGCTGCTCGGACGGCGTCGTGTTCGGGCTCTGCTGCTTTGGCATCCTGCCGCTCGCCGCCCTCCTCGGCGATGCGACCGAGCAGGTTGCGCTCCACACCAACGAGACCCTCAGCGGGCTGCTCAACGCGACGTTCGGCAATGCGACTGAGCTCATCGTCGCGATCTGCGCGCTCAACCGGGGCCTCCTCGCCGTGGTCCAAACCTCCCTCCTCGGCTCGATCCTCTCAAACACCCTGCTCGTACTCGGCTGCGCCTGCCTCGCGGGCGGCGTCGTCACGCCGGCGCCGCGCTTCAATACGGCGCTCTCAGCCCTCCGGCAGCCGGCTGCAGCGACGTTCCCGTGAGCGACTGCCCGCCCACCTTCAGGTGGCGGCCATCTCGAACGCTGCGCTGCTGCAGATTGCAGTGCTCGGACTGCTGCTGCCGACCATCATGCACTACGCCAAGGACGACATGGACTTTATGCAGCCTCTGTCGCACGGCATCTCGATCGGGCTGCTGCTGCTCTACCTGCTCTACATCTACTTCCAGCTCTTCACGCACCACTTCCTCTTCGAGGCGCCGCTCGAGGGCGACAAGTCGCTGCAGGACCAGGAGCCCGAGGAGGACGAGGAGGACGAGGAGGACGAGGTGCTCCTCTCCTTCTCGGGCGGGCTGCTCTGGCTCGGCATCGCCACCGTGGCGATCGCTTTCCTCTCGGAGGAGCTCACCGGCGCCCTCGAGCCCGCCGCCGCGGCGTGGGGGTTGCCGCAGGCCTTCGTCGGCTTCTGCTTGCTCCCCATCGTCGGCAACGCGGCCGAGCACTCCACCGCCATCGTGTGTGCGTACAAGCAGAAGATGGACCTCGCGCTCGGGGTGGCGCTCGGCTCGTCGACGCAGATCGCCCTCTTCGTCATCCCGGTGATGGTGGTCATCGGCTGGGTCATCCAGCAGCCCCTCGATCTCTTCTTTGGCCCCTTCCCGACAGCAGTCACATTCCTCTCCACCAACCTCGTCTTCATGGTGGTGCAGAACGGCGAGACCAACTGGCTCGAAGGCGCCATGCTTCTCTTCTCGTACGCCATCATCTGCTTCTCCTTCCTGTTTTATTGAGGCGCCTCGCAGTGGCTGGCTGCGAATTCATCTATTTTTCTCTTCCCGCTGGCGCCACGGGAAGAGAAGTACCCCGCTGGCGCCTTGGGCCGCGGGCCAGGCTGTTGCGCCGTGCACACTTGTGATGCTCAGTCCGCAGAGGAGGTCTGGCCGAGATCGCGGTCCCACAACCATGTCGTGCTATGTTATACCGGGCGGGGCGCCGCGAGGCGCTTGGAGAGTGACGCTTGTGTGTCTGTGCGAGATTGTCCATTGTGCCAGGTTTGCCGCGGTTCGTTACCAACGGGGATCGTTCCAACGCAGATTCGGAGAGGACGCCCCAGTCGTGCTCGTGCGTCGTGGCACGTGGGCGCAGTGGCTAAGTGCCGACCGGCGCGCCCGACCGGGTTTTTGTGCTTTTGTCCCTTTGACGCGCAAAGCGCTTTGGCAAAAGGCCAAAGCGCACAGAACCACAGTCCACAGTTATCAGTGTTTGACAGCAGATCTCTGTTCCTCTGTTCCTCTCTCCCTGACGTCTCTTCGTCTGAGAGAGTTTTACATCGTGATGAGAGAGAATAGGGGAAGCAAAGGGAAAAAGGCAAACGCCCGCGGCCGCGCTTAGTATACTACCGTTCTTGGCAAGCTATGCAAAATTCACAGCATGACGCGTACAGCAGCTGCATGTGACGTGCCGTCGCTGTCTCATCACCCCCCGTGCAGCGTGCGGACGCGCGCCTCACCCTCCGGCTAGACAAACGGCCGATTGGCCCGTGGCCACAAGCTCTCTGAGCGAGGTGTCGCGCGGCCTCGCGGCTTGAGCGCGGCTACGCCGGCCGCTGTGCCGGAGGGGGCACCGCCGCCGCCTCCTCCTCGGCCGACCGCTTCCCCAAGATCGACGAACCGCCCACGCTGGGTCCTCCGCATGCATCCGGCTCGAGCGCCGCGCCGCCGCCGCCGCCGGCGTCGCCACCGCCCGCCCTCCCGGCCTCGTTGACGCCGCCGTCGCCGTCGCCAGTGGCTCGGCCGCTGTCGCCGCTGTCGCCTCCGCTGTCGCCGCCTCCACGACCGGGCGCCTTAGCCGCACCCCCCTCAGCCAGCCTCTCGAGGACTCCCTGCAGCCTTCCGACTGTGCCCGCGAGGCGGGTGTGCCTGGCGAGCAAGTCCGTCACCTGCGGCAGCAAGGGCCGCTCACTGAGAGAGCCACCAGACGCCTCGAGCTGCAAGGCCGCGACGCGCGGGGCGTTGCCAAGGAGGGCCGGGCGGCTGGTTGCTTAGGAGGGCCAGGCGGCCGCGTGCGAGGGAAGGGTGGCTCGGCTGGGGCGGGGACGGGACAGGCGCGGCGCCACCTGCGCACGCAACGCCGCGACCTCGGCGGCGAGGCTGGCCTCGCCCTTGCCTGGCCGACTGCTCGCGCTCCTGGCCTCGCCTGCGGCACGCCGTGCGGACGGACCATTCGTGGGACTGGTGTGTGTGTGGGGGGGGGAGAGTGCGGGTGTGATGGTGTGTGTGTGTGTGTGTGTGGTGGGGGGGGGGGGAGCGTGGCGCGCCTGCTCCGCCGCCCGCACTCACGCCATCTCCCCCGCCCTCGAGCGCGACGGCGGGCACGGCGGGCGGCGACGCCGCCTGCGGCACCTTCCCCTCCTCTGGCTCGGCGTCGGCAGCGCTATCGGCGGCGCGAGGCTGCACAGGCACAAGCGCGTCGCGGCTCTGCGCCAGGGCCGGGCTGGACTCGCCGTCGCCTCCCCCGCTGTGCTGCAGCAGGGCCACCGCCTGGCTGAGCGACGCCATCGAGGTCATGTCGGAGCTCGAGCGGCCAGCGCTCGCCGCCGCCGCAGCGCGCTGCTGCTGCGGGGGGGAGTAGACGCAAGCGGCGGAGGAACCGGCGCACGCGAGGGACGAGCTGGCGGATGCGGCCGGCTGCTGCGCGGCCTGGGGCGGCGGCGGCGGCGGCGGCGGCGGTACCTGGAGAGAGGGCGGCATCTGCACCGGCGGCAGCTGCGCCAGTGCCATCGCGTTGTAGTGCGCGGGGGTGAAGTCGAAGGGGTAGCGCGCAACCGGCGCGACGCTGGCCTCGCCGTACCCACTAAAACCGGGCATGCCCTCGCCATACCCACTAAAACCGGGCATGCTGCAGTAGCCCGCCAGCCGCGGCAGCATGACGTTCGGCGGCACACCCCCGAGCGGAGGCACAGGCGGGTAGTAGCCGCCTGCAGGGTTGGCGACCGCGGAGGCGAGGTGCGGAGACACGCCGCCGACGCCGCCGACGCGCGGCGTTAGCACGCCCGCTACGGCGATCCCCTTGGCCGCCAGGTCCGCCTGCGTTGGCTTGGGCGCCTTGCACTTGTTGCAGACCGTCCTCGAAGGAAAGTTTATGTTGCCGCACGATTCCTGGACGCACTTCCAGTTCCCGCCGAGGCCGACGATGGGCGCGCCGTCGGGCATCCGCCCCGTCGCGAGCATCGCGGCGCGCTTGGGCCCCCCTTCAACCATGGCGACGCAGATGGAAGAGGAGCACGGAAAGAAAGGACGCGGGCTCGGATTAGGCATTACTCGTAACCCTTGTCAGGAGCAGGAGAGCCCCACCTGTCCCCCTGATCGTTCTTCCAAAATCCTGCTCGTGCAGGTGGGGACCCTGTCCTCGTCCCATCCCTCGTTTGGCGTGTCTGTTTTCTTTCTTTCTTTCTTTACTCCCATACCGCGATACCGGTAAAGTTTGAGCACTGCACAGACACACAGCCCCCTCCCCTTCCCCCACAAGGCTCAAGGGCGAGGACACACAGGACGCACGTCTAGCGAAGCCCGATGATCGTCCTTCCAAAATCCTGCTCAGTGCAGGTGGGGACCCTGTCCCTGTCCTCCTCCCACATCGTCCCGCGTGCGACGAAGTTTTGTTGGAAAAAATCTTTCTTTCTTTGTGCTGGATTCTTAATTTCTTTTGAGCTAGCCTTCGATGTTATGAAAACAAACGCAAGGCGGACATATCGCATCGCTCTCGGGCCCACATTGGCCTGTACGAGGTTTTCCGGCAAACAAAAAGGAAAACAGAGGGTCCCCAGCACTTTGCGTTTCCGGAAATTTCCAGGGAAAACAGAGGGTGTTTGGTGCTCCATTCTGGAAACTCGCGAGTTTCCCTGAGTCTGAGAGCTGGTCTGGGGCAAAATCTGAGGCAAAATTGAGGAATCGACAAAATACCCAGGCGGTCGCAGGGTAATTTCCAGGTCTACACGGGTTCTCCGCAAAATTCCCGGTATTTTGCCGATTTGGCCTAAAATTTGGCTGATTTTGGGCCCAAACCAGCCTCAGACTCGGCTCAGAGCCAAAAATTTGACGATTTCCACGGAGTTTTCCCGGGAAAAGAGAGAGGAAAAGAGAGGGTGTTGTAGAGAAAAAAGGAAAGGAAAACAGACGGGGTGCGAGAGGAAAACCTCGTACAGCCTAAGGCCCACAGACATGAGACATCCCGCACACCCGCCGCCCCCGCGCGTGCCCCACCCCGGCCGGGAGAAAGGGGAGTGGCAGTTTGGGATGGCAACAGAACGAGTATGTTGAGACCTGGCTCAACAACGCAGAGTAAAGGACTTGGGTGGTCCGGCCCACAAGTCCGGCTCACGCGCCTCGACTGACCCTCTAACCGCACTGGCCACTTCCGCCCCCTCGCTCCCAACCCATCCACCTCGCCTCGGGCCGCGCCGCGCGATCTCGGGCGATCTCGCGCGATCTCGGGCGATCTCGGGGCCGCGCCGCGCTATCTCGGGCGATCTCGGAGCGAGCGTCGCTCGCGCGGCGGCACACCTGCTCAAAAAAGGAAGGAAGGGCCCGGTTGGAGCCACGGGGCTCACGTGCTCGCTCGGTTCTCGCCGCCTCACTCTGGGCCGGTGAGGCGGTCCGGCCGCGCGTTCTTTTCCCTTTCACTCCCGTGCCCAGTGTTGTGCGAGGGAGGTTTGTGTAAAATTCTGTTTGATTGTTCGCCCCCCGTTCCGTCGTCCGTCCACTGCTGGGCTCTCCCAACATGGAGTCGTCGTGCCCCCCCGAAGCAGCGGCACCTGCGACGGCGGCGCCGGCCAGGGACGCCTTCGCGACAGAATTCGCTGCTGCCTGGGCAGCGTTCCCGGATGCTTCTGAAGGAGTAACGCCCGCCGCGGTTGCAGTATCAGAGGAGGCACCAATCTCAAACGAGGCGGAGCCCTCGGCGGCGGCAGTGGCGGCGCCAGAAGGGGCGAAGCGTGCTCTGACAGACGATGGTGATGACGATCGAACGCTCAAGGCGGTGCGTTCCGAACCGGGAGAGGGCATTTGCCGGAGCTGCACCAATACTGGGATAGACTTTATGGGCAAACCGTGCTCCTGTTGGCGCGGCCAGCAGTTGCGGAGCAAGGAGGCCACGGAGGAGAAGGGGCCCAGAGCGGCACCCGAGACGGAATCGGCGGAGACGGAGCCCAGAGCGCCGCCGGCCTCCGCCTCTCACACGGAATCGGCAGAGAGGGACTCCAGACCGCCGGCCTCCACGCCTCAGCTGTTCATGAGAGGTCCGATGTCTGCGGCAGGCCTCTCCGAGGTCTCGGGATCGGGAAGCTCGTGGATGATCGGCGGTAGCTCGGACGAGAACCTGGCCGATGCCGGCGTCATCCACGGCGACTTGGATGCAGCACCTGCTGCAGCGCGGAGCGTAGCTGAGCGGATGGACCAAGCGTTGGACGGTGCGATTCTGCCTGCGAGCGAGAGCGACACCACTGGACGTGTTGTGGTGGTCACTGGTGCTGGGCTGTCGGGCGCGCCTGACAAGGCCGGCCTGCTCGCGGCACTTGGCCTCAAGCAGGCGGTCGACGACAAGGTGTTGCTCGACGAGGCGAGGCTAACTGCGAAGGACTACTCGACCGCGAGCTCGGGCTTTTGCTTCATGGAGGAGGAGGATGTGGAGGAGGATGAGGACCGGCGCCGCGTTAAGGCGACCACCGCGATCATGAGCACTGATTTGAGCGACCACTTCGAGCTTAACTTTAGCGAGGCAATTGTGGTGGCGCCAGTGCTGTACGGTGGGCGAGCGAGCGATGGGAACATCGTGGCCGTCCTGAGTATGCGCGTTTGGACGTAGCGGACCAGAACCCCCCCCCCCAATGTACACATTCCGTCGAACATTCCGATGCAGTGTACTTGAGGACGACAGAGGTGAAGGCAGTCTGTGTGTCTGTGGCTGCACGCTCGACGCAGCAGTCTGGGGGCGTGTGCCGCTGCCGGCGGCGGCGGCCCAGCGCGGAGGGGTGCGTCGGCGGGGGGAGGGAGACGCACGAACCCCGAAATCCATCTATCCATGCGCGCACGGCACCGCGGGGGCTGTACGTGTACGGCGCCTAGCCCCACATAATAATTATTCCAGATCACAGTTCACACCACTGATATATATACCCCGTATATCTCACCTGGGGCGCGTGAGGCTCGGGCGCGGAGGCGGGGGCGGGGGGCGCCCACACTGGCGGCGCCATGGGCGGCGCAGACCGCCGGGAAGAGCAGGGATAGAGACACACTGTAACTGTGATCAGATCGGTGGTTGGAGTGGGAGAAGGGGCCAGTCAGACCGGCCGAGGACGCCGGCCACGCCCTGGCGGCGGCGCGGGCATGCTAGCGAAGACGGAGCGCAACGTTGCCGCGTCTGCGGCCGGCGCTGCCACGGGCGCGGTGCTGATGGTGAAGGAGTACTTTGCACCCACCTCGGAGTCGATGTCGAGGCCGAGATACGCGCGCTCGAGGCCCGGCTTGCGCACGCGCACGCCATCCTCGTCGAGGTAGAATTCGTCCTCGCCGCTGCGCCCCGGGGCGGGAGAGGCCCCGTCCGACTCGTACGACTCCGTCGCTACCACAGGCGGTCTCGGCGGCGGCGGCGGCGGCGGCGGTGGTGGCGGCGGCGCAGTCGAAGGAGGCGAAGGCGGCGAGGGCTCGAGCTTTGGCGGCGGGAGCGCGTCACTCGAGGGTGGAGACGGTTCCTCGCTGGAGTTGCCCCTGCCGTGCGTGGTGGGTGTGCCGTCATCTCGCGGAGAAGGGGACGCCGCCAGCGGAGACCCTCCGCGACTCGTCCCGGGCGGTGTCGCCACCGCCCTCTCGCCCGTTGCCCCACATGAGCTCATCCCGAGAGTGTCGGGAGTGGCCCTGGCAGCGGCAGCCGCCGCCCGTAGCTCCGCCGGCATCTTCCACTGCCGCTGCTTGGTCAGCCGATTGTAGTAGAAGCGGCGGCCGTCCGCGGTGGTCTTTACGACCCACGCGGCCGCCTCGCTGCTACTAGGTGCCACCGCGGCCGTGCGGCCGCCGGCTCCGGCAGCGGGCGGGGCGGCGGGCCGAAACATGTGGCGCTTGGAGACCGGTGCGGCGCTTTGGGATGCAGATGTGTGAGCGTGGGCGCGCCGCACATCCACCTCAACTGGTGACGTCCCCGCAAGCGCGGCGCTCGCTGCCGCGGGCGCGGGCCTCGCCTCCTTGCCACTAGGAGCCTCCTTTTGCCCTGCAAGGCGAGCCTTGAGCTCTGGCATCTTCCACTGCCGCTGCTTGGTCAGCCGATTGTAGTAGAAGCGGCGGCCGTCCGCGGTGGTCTTTACGACCCACGCGGCCGCAACCCTGGCGGCGCGGAGCCTCTCCGTGAGAATGCGCGCCAGTCGGCCGCGGCACATGGCTTGGATGCGCAAGGCTGCTGCCGCGCGCACGCGCCGCCCCATCATCAAGTACAGCCGAGTCGATTTTGCCGCATCGACGCGCGCGTCGTGCTGTCGCCGAAGGAGCATCTCAAGGCCGGGACGCGCCGGCAGACCTCTCGCCGCCTCGCGCGGCACAACGCGATGCGACGCGTCCTCCGCCGCCGCCCCCACTTGCCCCTTCCTCACCTCGGCAGCCACTGCCTCCTCTGGCGCTGCCCCCCCCTCCTCCGCCGCAGGTCCGTCTGCTAGTGCCTCCGATCCTGCCTCTGCCGTCGTCACCGCTCCCGTCGCGGTCACCTCTGCCGTCACCGCGTCCTCCCCTGCGACCTCTGCCTCCGCCTCCGCCTCTGCCTCTGCCTCCACCTCTGTAGCTTCCCACTTCTCCGCTGCCGGGTCAGACGCCTGCAGATTCTCCTCCGCCTGGGTCAGCCACTGGGGCTCGCCCCCAGTAGTTGCTGGTAGATACTGTACTCGAACGATGACACGCTGCCCGGCACCCACCTCAAGGCTGACGGCAACTGCAGGCGCTCGCGTCAAGCCGTTGCCGTTCAGGTTCGCAATACCATCGCACGCGCTGTCGCGACTCGAGGCCGATGCGACCGCCTGGATTGCCGCCGCAGCCACCGCTCGCACGCTCGCAGATATTTCGTCGCGCGGCGCGGTCCCGTTCAGCGCCATGGATGTTATTTCTTAGAGGGAAATAAAGAAAAACTGTCGCGACCAACGTATGGTTCTTGCACGTGTGCAAGATTGGGCGTCTTCTGCAGCAGTCCCTTTGATGGGAGGCCCCAGGGTGGGGGCCACCTCGAACCCCCGGCCAGGGATTCGAGCGGAGGGTGCCCCGGATTCATCTATCCGTTGGGCCCCGGTACATTCATTAGAACTGATCACTTTGCGCAGCAGCCGTCCCTTCGCCGACTCACCTGGCAACCCTGTCTGCACGTCTCGCGCGCGCGTGAACAGGGCTCCAGGCCCCAAATTACGTGTGAGTGTTAGAGTTGTTTGGTATTGCTAAAAATCTCTCTCTCTCTCCCGACTCAGCGCCGACTGGACGGCAGTGCGCTGCGTTGTCGCTCTGTCGTGCACGCTCTCGTGCCTCGTTGTTGTGATGTCTTTGGCTCACGCCAGGGCGCTCGTTGCTCCTCCGTCTCTTTGTATCTTCCATACTGCGTTTATCAGAAGACCGCACTTCTCGTGGCGATGCGGCTTTCTTTTCTCCCTCTGTGGTGTGTGCACCGTGTGCACCCCGGCCTGTTGTCTCACCTCTGGCCCCCAAGATCGTTTTGGTCGTCACATTGTGATCCCCAATACCTCGCAGTGCTCATCCTCGTCCCGCCCGGCGGGAGCGGCGCTGGAGGGTGGTAGCGCCAAGTACGACGGCGATGCCACGCGCTCCGCCTCAATCGCCGGCGCTCGAGCAGCTTGGCCTCGAAGAGCTCCACGACCTGCACTCAGCCGTGCTGCTCGCCGTCGTGCGTGCGCATGGCGTGCCGGCGGCCATCAGCCTCGTCGGCGCCAGCTTGCAGTCTCTCGCGAGTGCGGCCGCTTTGCAAAAACCGAGTGGCGTTGCATTGTCCATAGCCTCGACGTCGGATCGATGGCGCGACGCCGCACGCGCTGCGAGAGAGCTGCCAGATCCGTGGCGCAACGAGGTCCAAGTCAGCACGGCACTCGGCGTCCGGAGGCGCTATGATGCTGCGAGCCGCACGTGGACTGCTGATGCCGTCCTGGTAAGGCTTGAGCGTGATCCCTTTGCTCGTGGCGGAATGCGCCTATGCCACCGTTGCAAGGTGCTGCAAAGCGCACAGCAAGGATGGCACGGTGCGGGCACGAATTTCGTCGCCAAGGAGTATGCAGCCAATGAGCCCGACAGCGTCGCTCTGCTGGAGGCAGACTGCCGGATGCAGGGGCAGGCCAAGGCATTTGCGATGGCCTTCAATGCGCAGCGCGTGCCCAAGCCCGTCGACTTTGTTCAGTGCTGGATGCTGGCGCTTCCCGGCCGCGGCCACTTTGCCGTCGAGCCATTCCTCTCGGGCGATTTCACAAAATACTCGTCCAACTCGGGCTATGTGACGGATGAGATCATCCGCTACACGCCGCACGCGTTCAGCCACTTCACGTTTGAGTATTCGCGCGGCAGGGAGATCGTCGTCGACGTGCAGGGCGTCGGCGATATGCTCACGGACCCGCAGGTCCACACGCGGAGCGGCGAGGGGTTCGGGCGCGGCAACATGGGCCTGAGAGGGATGGCGCTCTTCTTTGCGAGCCACGAGTGCAATCCGATCTGCAAGAGGCTCGGGCTGCACCCGTTCGCACGGCACGCCGCGTCCTCGGCAGCGACGGTGCCCGCGGCCACGGCGGCGGGCGAGGAGGTGGGCCCGCTCGCTCTGATCGTCGCGCCGCCCGCGAGGCCGATCGCGACGGCCGTCGAGAGCAGCGAGCGGCTGCACGCGCCGATCCATTTTGCGCTCGCGCTGCTGCACGCGCGCTCGGTCCGATCGGGCGATGAGAGCCTGGGGCCGGGCGTGTTCGCGACGCCCGCGCGAGGTCTCTACCACCTCGCGGCGAGCGCGGCGCTCGGCCACTTGCCCGCGATCACGGCGCTAGCCTGCTTGCATTCGCAGGCTCGTCCGCGCAAGGGCGTGCTGGCGGCGCTGGCGGACTCGCTGCAGAGGCCGCTCGGAAAGGACGAGACGTTGGCGACTCGGTACACGCTGCAGGCGGCGGAGGCGGGCGTCGCGAGCGCGATGAGCGCGGTCGCGCTCGCGTACGAGCACGGCGTGGGCGTGGAGGAGAGCGCGGCCAAGGCGGCAAAGTGGTACCGCGCGGTGCTGGGTGCGAGCGGTGGCGGGCGCGACGAGGCGGGAGATGGCGGGCGGGCCGAGGGGGCGGAGCGAGAGGCGTGGCGAGACGAGGCCGAGGAGGAGGCGCGGCGGCTGGCAGGCGGCGACATGAGCGAGTATGACGTGCTGTCGGCGCTGGCGAGGCTGTACGAAGCGGGAGACGGCGATCTGCGGCGCGACGAGCGGATGGCTCGTGAGCTGGAGTTTCTGGCGAGGGGAGCGAGGCGGAGGGAGAGGGAGTCGAGGGAGGAGGAGGAGGAAGAGGATAGGGGAGGGGAGGTGGTGGTGTGAGTGCGCCTGTGAGAGAGAGCTGTGGTCTGCTGGTGTTAAACTAAAAAAGAATTACAGGCGCGCGCGCGCACCGGAACCTCCGCTCTCTGTCTTGGCCGTGGCGGGCAGCCGGAGCGCCACTGAACATGGCTGACACAGCACGCGCGCCGAAGAAGTGTGCGATGCCACTGTTCGCAGACACGAGTGACAGCGCGACCACCGTCAAGCTCACGGTCCCCGACAGCCCTGTGCCCAATCAACCAGTTTGATCCATCTCCGAGAGTGAAAAGCACAGCAATGTCGTCGTCGTCGAGGCCCCCACCAGGCCCCCACAAAGCCTGCGCGCAGCCTGCGCGTTCCAACCTGTCCCCTCTCTACTGTGGAGCAGTGTGCTGTGGGGAGAGCTAGGGGAGAGGCGAGGATGGTTTCATTGGTTACACATGTCACTAGGTTAGGTTAGGTAGAAAGGTGAAGAACAGCCAGGCTCGGACTGGACACCAACGCGGTATGGGTGGACGCGGGACAGATGATGACGACACGCACGAGCGACACACATGCGAAATTTTTGACCGCGCAAGATAAATAAAAGGGTGGCTAAGGGCTCTGCCCGCAAGGCGCCCGCGTCGCAGACGCGGTACCATTGACAAATCTGCAATATACCCCCACACGAACAAATAGCAAAATCCGAATACCGTGCACAAATAGCAAGCCTTCAGCTGGTGCCAAGACATCCGTAAAGTTGAAAGCAGAACGTCCGCCAAATCCGTGCTTTCGCGCTACCTGAGGGGAAAGCCGCTGATCGAGCCCAGCGTGCCCGCGGCCGCCTCCCGCGCAGCACCGCCGCTGCGGAATCGGATCGATCCCATGGAGGAGGAGGGCGCAGTCGGCCAGCGCAGCAGGCGGAGTCCCTCCCCGCGCCGGAGCCCCCCTGCAGTCGAGGGAGTCCTCGTTGGCGATGAAGGTGGCGACATCGAATCGCGGCCGACACACGTCACGGGAGGAATGGGCGATGAGCGGGAACGATGCGCACTACGACGCCGAATCCGCCGTGCTCGTGGCCGCAGAAAGCCGCGCTCCAGGAGCACGCCAAGATGCAATGGCTCGCTTGCTTCGATTCAGCTCTCTCGGCAGCAGAAGTGGGGCTGGAGCGGGTGGGGGTGGATGCCGATTGAGGGGGAGCGTCTCCAGCTGCGCCCTGTGGCAGCTGCGCCCTGTGGCAGCTAGTCGAGGGACTTGGTAGTTGTGACCCCCCTGAGTGAGGACAGGAGAGAGAGAGCGTTTTGTGGTGTTGGTGTACGCAATAACGGGACAGGGTGGTTGTTCTCTTTATCTCCTCTTCTAGCTCTTAGCATGAGCTGCGCCCGGTGTCCGACCCCTTTTGCGCAGCAACACCTTAAACTTTCAGGCCCTCCAAATTCGGGTCGGAGCGTAGCGCGTAGCGGAGTGGGCCCCGAGTTTGAAAAGGGCGACACGGACGCTTGCGTCCTAGCCTCCAACAACGCCTCCCCGGCGCAGAGGGGCCCCCGGAGGGATGCTCAACCGCTCCACGCCACGCCGCTTGCGGCGGTCCTCTTCCCAGCTCCGCTGACGGCCGGTGCGTTATTTCTTTTTCCAATGAGGATGGAAGTGAACGGCGACCTTCGTCGTCGATCGCGCGCTCTAGCTCTTCGACTCTGCCCACACGGAGCTGCTGTGTTGACTGGAATTGGGCAATGCTCGCCGCCGCGCTCGCCTGGCGGCTGCCTGGCCGGCGTGACGACCTGATCGACTCCATCTACTCCGATCATTCAACTTCTCAGGAGCCGTCGCCGGAGCTTCCGTCCTCGCAGACGCTCGAGGTGGACGAGGCTGGCGAGCCTGTGCTCGCCCGCATGACCTACGTGGACGAGGAGACGTGCATCGGGTGCAAGAATTGCGCTCTGGTGGCGCGCAACACGTTCGTCATGAATGACGACTTCGCTGGCAAGGCTCGCGTATTCTCGCAGGGCGGCGACAGTGAAGATCTGATTGACGAGGCCATCGACACGTGCCCGGTGAACTGCATCCATTACGTGTCGTTCGAGGACCTCGTCACTCTGGAGAGCGAGCGAGCGATGCGCGAAGGCAGCCTCGACTTCAACAACTACGCAGCGTTCAAGCGAGCGTGGACGGGACAGGACGCGGCCGTCCCCGAGACGCAGGCCACTTACTATGGCTCGCTTGCGATGGGAAATCGATGCACGAATTGCCCCAGCCGAGGGTGCGCGGACTGCCCCATGTTTGGCGTCGGCCTGAACCCGCTCTACCTCAGGCGCCTCGAGCGGCGCCAGGCGTCCGGTGCCGTGCGCCGGCGCGAGGCAGACCAGCGTGTGCAGGAGCTCATCGATGGCATCTACGAGGAGGCGACCGGAGCCCAATCGGCCGCGGCCACGGCCGCCACGCCGTTTGAGGAGAGCTGGGACGCGATCTTCGGCGACTATAGCGTGGCCGACCTCGACAAGGAGTGCGGCGTGTCCGGCTTGGCGACGGCGGCGGAGCCGGCGGCGCTGCGAGAGTCGTCGCCGGACGAGGCGGAGGAACGATTCCGAGAAGTGATCGACGACGACGTCCTCGCCACACAAAACCTCGACCCGTACGCGATCCTCGGAGTGGCGCGTGACGCGCCCCTCTCCGACATAAGGCGCGCGTTCCGGCGACAGGCGATGCGGTGGCACCCAGATCGCTGCGCGTCACTGCCAGAGCTCGAGAGGCTGTCGGCCGAGCTGATATTCAAGCAGGTCACCCTCGCGCACGAGGTACTCACGGACGAGGCGAAGCGGCGCAAGTACGACGCGGGCAGCGCCGAGCTCTCCGACCTCGTCGCCGGCTTCTGGGACTCGCTCGTGCGGCGGATGCAGGGCAGGCGCCGGGCAAGAGCAGGCGATGGGTTGAGGTCGAGAGGGCCAGTCGCGCCTGGCAGCGGTCTCTCCCTCCTAGAGCTTGCCAGGGAGGAGAAGGAGGCCTTGCCACGCCTCGGAGGCGGCTCACCGGACGATTGAAACGGCGTGGCACGCCCAACACAACACGCACATGCATATTACTTTATTGATTATTCGACATGCACATGCTACATGCTACATGCATGTGCATGTGCATGTGCATGCGGTGGAATCGGAAACTGGAATGTGCTGCTGCGCCGGGTGGGTGGGGGTGCTACCGCATATCCATGCACATGCACACAGGCCCCGAAGGAGAGACATTTACGTAGAAACAAGAAGAGCGCGGGGGCCCGGGGAAACACGCACCTCACGCACTAGTGCGACATGGGCACGCTAATCGCTATCACCCGCCCTCGGGAGGTGGAGGCACAGGGGGCTATCCGGGTTACCTGCAGCGGGCTTCGGACGCTTTTTGCGCTAGAATTCAATCGACGGGCCCGCGCCCCCGCGCAGCGCGATGCCGCGCGACTTGCCCGTCGCGGCCAAAGATGGCGAAGGGCTCGGCCTCGCTGCGCGTCGGCACCAGCAGCACCAGCAGCAGACCAGCTTGGCAGCGATCAGCGCGACGCCGATGAACGCGCTATGGTGCGGCGCGGCAGCGGCGGCAGAGGCAGTGCCACTAAACACGTGTGCCATGGCTCGCTTCGCCTCCGTTAGCGCAACCGCTGCCGCCGCCTGCGCCTGTGCCATATCGTCGCCCTCGCCTGCTACCCCACCCGTGACCACTGCGCCGCCATCGACGGCTCCACCGCCACCGCCACCGCTGCCCTCGCCACTGCTGTCGCCCTTGCTTCCCTCGTCGCCGCCACTTTTACCGCCCCGCTTGCGCCGGCCACGCCGCTTGCCGCGCCTACGACGGCGCGCTCGCGACCTCTTCACCAGCGTCTACTCGGACGTCTACCACTGCTACGACGCGGGCTGCACCGCCCGACCCTCTTCGCCCGCTCGCTCGCGGGGGCCTCGTTGGACGCCTAGCGCGCGCCGTCAGAGGTAGCGGAGAGGTGTGCATCCAGGGCGGGGCGTCATCGCCGCGGCCGGGGCGGCGCCTCGTCGGCCGCCTTGACGCCGCTGCCCGTGAGCTCGCCGTCCACCTCCTCGCCGCCTCCTGCCTCCGCAGCAGCGGGCGGAGGCGGCGGGGGCGGGGACGGCGGCACGGCGGTCGCGCGAGACTTTGCCTTCTTGCGCCGGCCTTGCTTGCGCTGGCCTGTGCAATGACGGGGAGGCGTGGGGAGCCTGCGCGTGCGTCCCCACTCCGCAGCTCCTCTTCTGTCCTGCATCCTTGCGACGCGTCCGCCGCCGCTTACGCCCACCCTCACCAGCCGCGGCAGCACCCTCCGTCTCCTTCGCCTCCTTTGCAGCATCTGCCGTGTCGGGAAGGTCCGCAGCCTTCTCCTCTTTCTTCTCCTCCGCCGCGGCGGCGATCTCGGCTGGCGCTGCAGCCTCTTGGCTCGCGCCCCCCGAGCGCTTCTTGCGCCGCTTGCCGCCGCGCCGCTTATTCCGCCGGCTCGGCTGATCCACTTTCCCTTCCTCTCCAACTCCCTTCTCGTCGCCTGTTGGCTTGGTCGGCGCAGCTTGGTCGGCGGTGCTGGCGGTGGAGTTGACGGCTGTCGCGCTGTCCTGTTTTCGGCGTCGCCGGTTATGCCGTCCGCCCTTCCGTCGGCCGCGACCCTTTGCCCCGCCTTTATCTCCCTCATCGCCACCGCCCCCCTCAGCAGGCGCAGCAGAGAGGAGCCGCCCTCGGTGCGGCACGACACCGAAGAAATGGGGAGCACCCTGCGCGGCAGTCGCGAACGCGACGAAGAAGAGCACAACGGCAGAGCACGTCATGTGTGCTCTGCCAAGCACGCCTCGACGATCCGGTCTCGACGACGATCCGGCGCCGAGGGGGCGTCTCGGAGAAGAATTCGCGTTTCCTATAGAGGCGTTTCTCCCTTGGGTTGTCTGTTTTCATTTTGATGTTTAGGCGTTTCTTTACGGCCCCTTCCCTGCGACCGCGCACCCCCCTAGGGGGTCAGGGCTCTCTTGGTCTTCCGCCCATAGAGGATAGAGCTCCCGCCCCCGTCCCCGAGCGTGCGCCCGAGGCTCGGTGATAAGAAACATAAGTGTTTGACTGTGTCTGTGATAACAGACCGATATCCAATTCACACACACATACCTCACCGATATGGAGCATGCTGCTAGGACACACGGAGACGGAGATACCGCGTCCTGCGCCGAGGACGCAGACACGCACTCTCCCTCTCACCTCTCGTTCTCTCCGTCGCCGACCCCGCAGTCGGACACACACACACACACACACACACACACACACACACACACACACACACACACACACACACACACACACACACACACACACACACACACACACACACACACACACACACACACACACACACACACACACACACACACCTGTCTATTCATACACACGAGTTGTTGCGGCAATCGCACCGCTATGCCAGCCCCAACGAAATGCGCGGGGGGGGGGGGGGGGGGGGGGCCGGGGGGCTCTTAAAGGGGGGCACTCAAAAAGGGCGGAAGGGCGGGGGGGCCCCCTTCGGCCCCCCGGGGAAAAAGGGGCCCCATGCCCCAATCAAGCAACGGCGGGGGGAGGAAGCGGCAGGCCCCAAAAGGGGAGCTTCCACCCTCAAGCCGGTTCCCCCCGAACCTTTTGGCCGGGGTTTCCCAGGAGCCATCCACGTAAAGCTCCCTGCCCCCCGCGTCAAAAAAGGGGGGGTAAAATTGCCACTCGCCGGTGCCGCGGGTCGATCCTCGCAGAGACCGCTGCGGGGGCGCGTCGTGCCCCGAGGCGGTGATGCAGATCTCTGGCGACGGGTGCCAGCCCGTCGGGTAGCCGTGGCAGAGCTCGAAGCGGGAGGAGGAGGTGCCGAGCGCGTCGATGATGGTCGTGTCGCCGCGGGCCTTGGCGACCACCATCAGCGTGATCGGCTGAGGGATGGGCTCCGTGAAGGGGCGCGTCTTCAGGACGGCCGCGCCTGCGGTGCGCAGAGGCGAGGCGGACTGGGAGGCGGACTGGGAGGCGGACTGGGAGGCGGACTGGGCCCGTGTCGGCGGTGGAAGCGGGCGGTGCGGGGCTGCGGGCGCGCCATCGAAGAGGAAGACGCCGCAGCCGTGCAGCGCGTCCGGCAGGAACTCCGGGCCGTTGAGGTGCGAGTAGGCGCCATGGCCCGAGCCGGAGCGGTCGGCGCAAGCCTTGCCGGGAAAGGGAGAGGGTTCCCAAGGGCGGCGGCACGGGGGGCAGGGGAGAGGGAAGAGGGCCCGACGGTCGGGGCGTTGGGTGGTGGGCGAGGGGATCCGTTCTAATCCGCCCGTGGTCGCGCTCCGAGCGGGCCCCCTTCACCTGCACGTAGGAGGTGCCAAAGCGCTCGGCGAGGGTGAGGTAGCGCTCGTCAGCTTGCAGCCAGAGGTGGCAGTCGGCCGCGATGAGCTCCCAGAGCATCAGGCGGGCAATCGCTCCGCGCACGAGCTCGGCTCTCACGGGCTCCGTTTGCATCCGCACGAGCAGCAGCCGCAGGCTTGTTGCCGCCACCGCCTCGCAAGGCCGCCGCAGAGAGGAGCACGACGCGGCCACGGCGGCGAGATCCGTGGCACCGAGATTCGAGAGGATGGTCTCGACAAGCAGGCCGTCGAGAAAATACTCGGCCCCACACCGGAGCGTGAGCGACAGCATTTATGAGTGTTATGAACGCGTTGACCGAACTTGGTTTCTGCCGCTCTGGCCAGCTTTGACCTGAAAGACGAACATTGCAATCAAAGCCGGGCGATGTCATTTTTTGTGTTTTTTGTTCACGCTTAGGCGGCTCCGGTGGTGAGCCGGTGTGTGTGCCAGTCCGCGCCAGTCCGCGCCCTTGTCGTGCCAGTGTGCTGTGAGAGAGGCTTGCGATTAAGAATTCTTTTTGCCCCATACTGCGTTGGTGTCCAGTCGGCTATATGGCGCAGCGCGCTACAGTCTATTGATTGTTCGTAGCCCTCTCGTTCACACCCCTCCCGCGGCCGCTGGACCTGGGGGTGGGGCAGCGGGCAGGCGCGCTGGGGTCGTAGATGAAGTGACCAGTGTGGCGGCGGGAGGCCGGGAGCCATCGCCACAGCCTTGTGCGTTGTGCTGCATCATCAGCTTGGCCTTTGCTCCTTTCTTTGTTTGTGATGGCCTTGCCTAGCCAGACCGCCGACAGCGTCCCTGCATACACCACCTCTCCCGGCAATGGGTGAGATCGGTGCTCCACCTCGGTCCTCGCCGTGGTGCGCGCGCGAAATTGTAGAGCCAGAACACCGCTCACCGGCCGCCGCCCACCCGCCCTCTTCGCTCACTTCTCTCTGACTCTGTCTGCGCCCACCCACCGCACACGGCTCGCTCCTTTTGAGCGCCTGTGAGCTCTCTGACTCTGTCTTTTCTTCTTGCTGTGTGTTCTCGAGGTTTGCGGTTTGGCCTTGTCCCCATGCAATGGTGTCTCCTGTCGTTTGACTCTGTCTCGCACTCGCTGCAAACTACTCAATCAACCATCCTTCCTGGATGGACAATCGTGTTGAATGTTCTTTATTGCAAAACAATCGCGATTAGTGCACGCGGTACGAACGAGAGAGAGATTTTTATTAACCAACGAACGTGGCGATGGCTTCCACAAGAAGTCTAGAACTCCAAGAACAAGAAACCCCGCGTTTGGCGCGGAGAGCCACACCGGTTTCACCGGCCGAGGCGGGCTCTTTCGCCGCCCCTGCGCCCCCCCGCGCGACAATCTCATCGCCGTCCGCGGGACGGTGCATGTTCGCTGCGATGGCCCGGTGCATTCCGGCGGCGCGATTGCAGCCTCTCCAGTCCATTGGCAACGGGCCGCCGAAGCTCCACCGCCGCGAGCAGCAGCCTGAAACACCACCGGCCGACTCTGACTCATCGTCAGCCCCGTCCCCATGTGCCGCAGCCGAAGAGGCCGCCGCACGGTCCCCGCGGCGTGTGCTCCATCAGGGTGGGCTACGCAGGGCGGGCCCGACCGGCGTCTGGCGCACCCGGTGGGTCGTTCTTGTCGCCGAGGCGGGCGCCTTCTTCCTCGAGGCTTACGTGCCCCGAGCCTCGGCCTTCCAGGTAGGGCACGCGCAGCTCGAGGGTGGCAGGGCGACGGAGCGACTGCCACTCGAGGGAGCGATCGTGAGCCGCGCTGCGCCCGGCGCGGACTGCCCGCGCGGTGGCGGCCGGCACACCATCTCGCTCGCCATCGTTGGTGGCCCCATCGTCCTCCTGACCACCCCCGACGCCCGTGTCGGCTCCAAGTGGCTCGCGTCCATCCGGGCTTGCATTGCTGCGGGCGGCCAGTCCGAGGCAGCGTCATTGCTGCGTGCGCTCAGGCGCTGGAAGGGCCGCTTGGTGGCCCGCTCCGGCTCCACGCGCGACGGCAACGCCCCCAACGCCAAGCGCAGCGGCAGCCCAGCCTTGCCCAAGCTCGACCGCGCATTGCTGCGCAGCGGCCCGTGTGCCGCCGCACGGTACATGGACGCGCACCGTCGCCATCGCGGGCGGCTCCCTGTTGCGCGGCAGCCGTCGGAGCCACCCACCCGCGGGGACCCGGCGGCGAGAGGAGCCGGGCGCGCGGCGGCAGCCGAGAGCGCTTGCCCTCGGCGAGTGGGCTCAGCCGTGCCGAGACTGGATGTTGGCACTGGTAGAACAAATGGGCTGGCGACGGCGGCACGCGAGAAGGGCAGGTATGGCGGGGATGAGGAGCGGACGGTCGCGGTGGAGGTGCAGGCGGGTCTGGCGGTGGAGCTGGAGGCGGCAAGGCAAGAGGAGCCGCCAGCAGCAGCGGCGGTTGCAGCTTTGGGCGATGCGGCCCCCGAGCCCTTGGAGGGGGAGGCCGTGGCGTCAACGTTAGTGGAGGGGGCGGCCAGGGCGGAGGCTGATGTGGGTGCTGTGAGCCTGCAGGAGGGTGGGATGGCATTTGCGCCGCAAGAGATGAGGCAGGCGGCAAAGGCGGTGGAGTCAGCGGAGGAGCGGAAGGATCTGGTGGTGACGGTACCAGCGATGTCTTGGGCGCAGGCATTGTCTCAGGAGACGACAGGGGGGTCGCCCAAGGAGGGCGGACGAAACGTCGCGTGTGTGGGAGTTGACACGGCGACAGAGGAAGAGGGGGACGTGGCGGTCGATGCGATAGCAGACGAGGCGATCCGGCCCGCGAGCATCGCGGTGGCAGCGAGCGTGGGGGCGCAGCCTGTGGCTACAGGCGTGGCGGCGCTGGACGATAGAGGGGCAGGCGGTGACAAATCGGAAAAGGTGTCGCAAGACGCTGACGCAGACTCGATGGCGATGGAGGCACTTTCGGGGGCGGTGAGACCATCCCTGACCGGAGCGATGGCTGCACAACAGGCCCGACCAGAGTCCGCGTTGCGGAGGGCCCAGGCCGCGAGGAGGGCTAGGGAGGCGGAGGCTGCGACAAAGGGCGAAGCGGCGGCCGCTCACATGGCCGACATTCGAGCCAAGGTGGGGGGCGACCTTGAACGCGGTGCGAGCCGTGAGAGCAACCGGCAGCGGTGCGGAACGACTCACAGGCTGCGATCGCTCTGTTCATGCGACGAGTGCTGCGACCCGCAGACCGCTGCGATCGAGGCGGCGCAGGACGAGGTGTGGGCGCTAGCGCGGCAGCAAGAGAGAGCCCAAGAGCTTGCTGTCCTAACGCGTCAATCGGCCGGCTGCGGGGCGATCGGCGGCACGCCGCGAGCCGAGCTTGTGCACCCTCAGCTCGCTCGGGCTCAGCTTCGACGAGGCGCCCGTCGGCCCACCACCAACCGCACGCTTCGGCGTGCTGCGCCAAGCGAACGGCTGGCTGAGCCGGCTGCGGCTCGGCCCAACGGCTTTGAATGTCCCGCAGCATTTGCATGCCTTGACAGCGCTACACCTCCGCAGCCAGGCGCTGAACCGAATGAAGCGGCGGTGTGGCGCTTGCGTACCGAGACGCTCGAGGCGCAGCTGGCGGGTGTGCGCAGAGCGCTCGCTACCGCGGAACAGGCAGTCACGCGGGAGCGGCGAGCGCGCCGCGAGAGCGAGTGCCGCGCCGAGCTGTTGGCTGAGGCGGAGGCGGGTTGGAGGCGCCGGAGCGAGGAGGAGCGCGCTCAGCGGCTCGGGTCGCTCGGCATGCTAGTAGCACGGCGGACCGCTCACCGGGACTTGCGGCGCGCACTCCACGCTTGGGTGGACCACAGGTCGCGGCAGCGGCAGGCGCGGATCGCTACCGCGCAGTGGAGGAGCGTCCAACGGCTCAGAGCCGGTCTCGATGCTCTCCGGCTCGCGCAGCGGCGAGCTCACATGGCGCGCCGCTGCCAGCGCCTCGCGCAGCAGCAGTCCCGACGATCGCTCGCCACCTGGCGCATGTGGGCAGCGGCGCAGTGGGGGTCACGCCAGCGGCATGCCGCCGCCAAAGCGCGCCTCGAGTGGCAAGCTCCTAGCAGCTGCAGCGGTCTACGCCGCGCTTTCGGCGTGCTGAGCTCAGCAGGCCGGCGCTGGCGGGCCCAGTGCAACGCACTCCTGGACAGGGACCGGCTCGCCGTGCACCACGCGCTGCATATGTGGCGCTCAACGGCCGAGGCCTCGCGCCCGCTGAGAGTGATGCAGAGCCGCAACGCTGCGCTGGCGGCGCAACTGGAAGAGCTGCAGATTGTGGCACTTCAGGCTCGTGCCGGGCGTACCGCCCGCCACGTATCGACACCACCCGTTGACGACCCCGCCCGATGCTCTAGGCACGCCTCGACTTGCTGGCCGAGGAGGAGGAGCGCCTGACGTGCCAGCTGCCCTCAGCTGACGCAAGTGCGCGCGCCGCGCTCGAGGGCTCGCTCGAGACGGTCCGGGCTCAGGTCGTCAGCCTGCACCAGATGATAGCAGCCAGCTTCCAGCTCGAAGGCGGAGCCGGACCCGTTCCCGACGCATCCGTGTCCGGCGCGCCAAGCTCGCCCACGTGCTACGGCCAGAGCTTCAGCGAGTCTGTAGACGGCGGCTACGAGTCATTTGAGGACACTGCGAGGCGGCTGACATGTTTCTCTCCTCCTTCGAGAGGGAGCGTCTTCGGCGACGAGCCCTATGAGTCGTACGAAGCCACTGAGCGTCGTCTGAGCAGCTCGGCTCCGGGACGTCAATGCGTGCTTTGAGAGTGTGTCGTGTGGGTGGGTGGGTGGGACTAGGAGGGGGAGCGAGCCCTCGAGCGCTTCGCGCACTGTCTCTCGCTCGGTGTCGGTGTGCGCGCACTCCGCTCCCGGTGCGCTGACACACATACCGCATTCCGGGTTTCCGCAAGGCGCAACACCGCAGACCGCACATGCGCATGTTGTTTTTTGGATATTGCACTGCATGTGCATGCACCGATGCGCAGGGAAGCTCCCTTTCCCCATCTCTACTACAAATGTGTCCGTTTTCATTTATTCATGTACTACTAGTACACTACTACGTCGAGTGAGTAGGCAGCTTGCGCGCGTGACAGGGGAGAGCAAGCCGCGCTCCTCACGAGAGTCGCATCAGCCGCCTCACCACGGGGAACGAATGCTGACGTAATACACCCGCCAGGCGCAGAGCGATAGGCCGACCCCGAGTGCGCCGAGCAAAAGTTCGGGAGTAATGGATAGCAGCCGCGCACTTGGCTGCTCCCACAGCGCCGCGTCAGCGCAAAATGGATCGACGCACGCGCCAAGCGCAATGGAGGAGCAAAACGCAAAAAGCAGGTAGAGAAGGAGCGAGGCGGCAGCGACGCGTGCACCAGAGACAGCTGCAGTGCGCTCGTCGCAAACGGTGGAATAGGCAAAGCCTCCCGTCAACAGCCCTCCCGACACCCACAGAGACGAACATCCCGCCGCAAAGGTGAACGTGTGACCGAGTCGCACGGGCTCGGCTGAAACGGGGGCGGCCCACCCAGGAAAGTCTGAGTCGATGAGGACAGTGCACAGTGCACGCGCAAATGCATACGCAAAGATGACGGAGACCTCCGACGATATGAGGAGCGGGTCATCTTCCGAGCGCATGTGCAAGAGAGAGAGCGAATGGGGGAGGCGATCCAAACGTCTAGCCATAGCGGAAGTAGAACGTGGATGGTGCAGGCTCGGCGTGGCGTGAAGGGCGCAGGCGCCATGCAGCAATATCGGCAGGAGTGCGGCGACCTCCCTCATGCGTGCGGCGGCTTGGGCTGTGCGACAGAAGAATTCTTGAGGAAGCCTCTCTCACAGCACACTGGCACGAGAGTCCACACTGGCACGAGAGTCCCTTGTCAGGAGCAGGAGAGCCCCACCTGTCCCCCTGATCGTCCTTCCAAAATCCTGCTCGTGCAGGTGGGGACCCTGTCCTCCTCCCCCATCCCTCGTCTGGGTTTGTCTGTTTTCTTTCTTTCTTTCTTTTCACACTGGCACGACAAGGGCGCGGACTGGCGCGGACTGGCACACACACCGGCTCACCGACAGAAGAATCGCCGGCAGGCACGCCGCTAAAGGCTGCTCGCCAAGGCTCGCCCCAGCCTCTCGGGTTGACTCGGCCAGACTAAAACCCCGAGAGGCGTGGGAGTACCTCCCCAGGACTTGTCGAACAAGGATCGGAGAAATCTCGTGTTTGAACCGCGAAAAGCGGTCGGTGCCCAAAATGACCGCCTGCACGGCCGCTCCATCTCACGCCTTCGCGCGCCAGGCGAGCGAGGGGGGCAAGCGTTGCGGCGCGGGCGGGGAAAAGTAATATATCTTTACTTCCAAAACCCGGACGTGCCTCCACCGGCACGCCGCTTCCGACAGGGTGATGGAAGGTTCGACGCACCCCCGGACTGGGCAGAGAGGTCCCAATGTAAAGACGATGGGCTGTCCACCCCGCCCCCACTTGCCCTGACTACACAGGATAGCGTGCCCCGACAAACGGCGACACATAGCGGGGGACACTGCGCCGGGGGGTATGCCTAACTTTGGTGCTTTGTGTGGGTCGCGTTCCCATGGTAGCTGTGTGGCTGAAGCCCTCGTGCCGCTGGCTTGCCCCTTCCAGCGGCTGGCCCCTCGAGACTGTCGGTGCTTGGCGGGAGGAGGGGGAGAGGGAGGCCCGGTGGGAGGAGAGGGAGAGGGAGGCCCGGTGGGAGGGGAGGGAGAGGGAGGCCGTCTTGGGCTCTTCTCCTCCCCCCTCCCTGGGCTCTTCTCCTCTCCCCACCCTGGGCTCTTCTCCCCTCCTCCCTGGTACTCTCGGCCTGATTACCGGAGCGACTGCCAGAGCAGACGCTGGGGGGACACTCGCGCCCGGAGGCGGTACGCACGACCCGGAGGCGTGGGGATGGGGGGGGGCCGCGCCGCCGCCGCCGTGCCGCCTTCTCCCGCTTTGACCTCCCCCAGCTGCTTCTCCTCAAATCAACCTGTGAGCTTGCGAGGCGGCGGGGGTGGGAGTGCTCTCGGGCGGCGTGTGCGAGCGCGCGCGGCGCGAGATCTTTTTCGCGAGGGCACGGTGGGTCGGGTGAGCATCTCGCGCGCGCACTATTTTACGTTATATCAAGCACTGCCTTTGCAGGTGGCGTTTATTTTTGCTTGGGGCGGACATCATGACGGGGTAGGTAGGGTAGGGTCTGGGCCCTCCCGTCGGGTTTTTCCCTCTCTCACGCCGGAATTTTCACAGCAGAAAAAGAATTTTTCCGTCCAAATCACGATGTCAACCCTCCCCAAGTCGTTGATCTGGTGCTTGTAGGGCTTGAGAGTGGCCTGCCATGTCACAGGAAGGACTGTGGTTGCAGGATAGTACCACCAGCCATCACTTTAGTTGGTATAGTACCCCACCTTCACCCAGCCCGTGATTTCTTTTTTAGTTTCCCATAAGTAAGGTAGGTAGGTAGGTAGGTAGGTAGGGGCAGGGCAGGGGCCGGTCAGGTTTTTCCAGAATTTCATCATGATGTCCGCCCCAAGCAAAAATAAACGCAACCTGGCCTTTGATGCCTTTGCAAGAACCGCCAGCGGCGGTGGTCGAACCGGTTCGCGGTTCGAGCCGGGACCTTTTGGCTCCCGGTTCGGAACTCGCTTGGAGGGTTGCTTCGCTCTCGCGGAGCGAGCGCGGGCGCGTGGGTGCGTGTGCGCATGCGCTGCTGCAAGGCGAGGCGAGGCGCGGGGCGGCGCGGCGCGGCGAGGCGGGCGGCGGCGGCGCGCGGTCGTTCTTTTTCGGCAACGGTGCACGCTACTGTTGAAGGATAGTAGTATGGGCTATGGCAGTGGGTGGGGTCGGAGGGCGGCCGGGTCGCTCCGGAGCGGCCCCGCGCGGGGAGGTGGGTGGAGGGCGGGCGCCACGCCATCGGGCAGGCCGCGCGGGGACGCAGCCAGGGCCAGCGCGCGGCGCTAGAGGGCCGGGCGGAAACATACAGAGGTATCGGAGAAAACTTAGCGTAGGGTCGCATATGCGGGAATAGGTCTAGATAATAAATAGGTCACGCACGGACACGTACGGCGGCGGGCGGGGGCGGGGGGTGCTCAGACCTCAGACCCTCACTGACTGACATTAATTTTTCTCCACATTATTACAGCTGCAATGCACTGCAGGATATGGGGGAGGGCGAGGACCGAGGTGCCGAGCCCCCGGGGGTAGCGGGGACGTGAGAGCGTAGGGTCTAGCTAGTAGCGGGTCTCACCTGCGAGACCGCCTGCGTCCTGGCAACCTGGGGTCGGGTATATTCGATATTATTTCGCTACTCTATTCTCGATGCAACATCTAACTCATCTACTCGTGTGTATTCGGTTACTGTTTACTATTTTTTACTCTGCACAAATAAGCGCTTTAAACCGTGTCATGATCCATGGCTCCAACGCGAATGTCCCGGCTTGCTCACACCGGTGGTAGTGCGAGGAAAGCGATCATCCGTGCCCTGGGTGGCCTGGGGCTTGCAACTACACAGGCGGGGGCCCTTTGGAGTGCTGCACGTCCAGCGTGTACCGTTAAGACCGCCGATCGCGTACGTTGAGTGAACGACGCCCATGCGCTTCGGCTGGCCAGAGGGGGTGCTTCCCGAGTAGTTGTGGTCTAGGTCGACATCGTCGTGAAGGGCGAGGGCGAGCGGTCGTGGGGGCGGGCCGCTCACCCGCTCGTGCATCTGGTGAAGGAGCAGCGGCAGCATCCCTCGGCCGCTGTAGCCGCTCAAGTGGTACTGCATCGCGCGCCGTGCCTTCTTCACCCCTGCCAGCAGCGTGGGGTAGTCGAGCCCATCTGCGAAGCGCTCGAGCTCGCGGACGCGCGAGTAGTGCAGCTGCGCGCTGATCACCCGCCAGTCGAGGACGCGTGGCAGCGGCGGCAGCGTGTACTCGGAGAGGAAGATTGGGACGCACTCGTAGTGCAGCAGCTCCGAGACGCGAGGGGTCCACGGCGCGTACCCGCCGCAGACAGGGCAGTAGCGCGCCGTCTGCATCGCCTCGAGGTATTGGTCGGCAGGGAGGGATTCGCGCACCAGCACGCGGGGGCTGGGCGAGTGGGAGAGCCCCGCGAGGAGAGCCTTCCTGCAGGCCGAGGCGGGGTGCGAGCCCGCAAAGAAGAGGAGCAGCGACCGCTCGCCAGCGCCCTTGGACCGGTTGCTGCCGGGGCGGTGGCCTTGCCGCCCAGCCGGCAGCAGGCTCGGCGCAAAGGCCACGCGCGGGAAGTGCACGTTCGGCGTGGGGATGGTGATGTCCTTGGCCTCGTCGTGACACGGGAGCTGTGGCCCGACGCCTAGCTGGGCCGTATACTGATGCAGCGTCTCTCCCCGCCAGCCGGTCTGCTCGCCGTGTGTCATGATGTGGTGGCGCATGAAGTCAACGTCCTTGTACCGGCCGTCGATGCAGCATGGCCCCCGGTCGTTGGTGAAGATGAAAAAGTGCCGCCTTCCGCCGTCGTGCCGAAAGGAGGGGCTGCGCTGCTGTAGCTGCTTGAGGCACTGCTGCTGCCGGATGGCAACCGCTCCGCTGAGGTGCAGCACGAGCAAGACCACCACAGATGCATTAGCCTCGCGCCAGTCTGATGTGACAAAGGGGCTGTTCTCCAGCATGTGTGGAATGAATCCCTGCGCCGCATACTTGCTCGGCCACCACAGCTGGTCGTTGCGAGGCACCCGACCCTGCGGCCCGGCCCAGTCAGTCCTCCAGTTTGGGTGGCAGGTCTCATCCAGATACACTCGGAAGTTGCTCGCTGCGCCAGAACTGTAGAAATTTCGTAGGGACGAAAGGGCTGATGGGAGGGCCACGCCTGCGATCTCGTCGATAACGACAGGCTGGCGGGGAATGTTACCGGTGTCGCGGCCGGTCACCTCCATGATCTCGCAGCGGCTGGCGAGCACAAGGAACGAGTCGGCTCCTCGACTGCCGGCGACGTCGACCGAACGCCCCCTCGCGCCCGAGTCCTGGCGAGCAGAGGCACACGCACGCTCCGAGGTGTCTTGGAGCAGCACGGCAGTACCCCCCCCCCCCCGACCCGGGTACCCAAATGGGTCCTCGGTGAGGGTACCTGGCTGGGCGGGGCCTCTACTCGCCAGGCCCGAGTCAGAGGCGATCGAGCAAAAAGAAATTTACAACACAAAGCTCCCTCGCACGAGTGTGTGTGTGTGTGTGTGTGTGTGTGTGTGTGTGTGTGTGTGTGTGTGTGTGTGTGTGTGTGTGTGTGTGTGTGTGTGTGTGTGTGTGTGTGTGTGTGTGTGTGTGTGTGTGTGTGTGTGTGTGTGTGTGTGTGTGTGTGTGTGTGTGTGTGTGTGTGTGTCACTCACTAATTCACTCACACACCTCGCACGAGGCACGACACTGGGTGGGCACGGGACTGACTGGCGCGCACTGGCACTAACACAGGTACACCACGGGAGAGCCGCCTAAGCGACTCCTGCGAGGACGGCGAGGCACTTAGCTCCGTGCACTCGACCGCCCTCGCCGCAGGTCTGCAAGCTCATTCACAAATCTGCTCTGCGATGGCTGTGTGAAGAACGATTGAGATACGCTGCTTCTGCAGCCCTAGCCAATTCGAGGTGGCATGAAGGTGTAGACACAACCCCCAAGGGAGGGATGGGAGGACGGCACGCCGCCACCACACAGAAACAAAACACACAGGGATTTTTAAGGAGAGGAGTTGTGGTGCTGGCAGCTGGGCCCTGGGCGTCTGCCTCTTCCTATCTCTCTTCGTTTTCTTGATTTCTTTCTTTGTTTTTGTTAAATTCTTGCTTTACTAAGCAAAAAAAAGACAAGAGAGGGGTAGAAGGGCGGGAGAAGCGTAAGACGTCCAAAAAAGATTACGAAACCCGAGGTATATCAACGGCCATGGTGCATGGAGCATGGTCTGCGACTCCAGACTCCGAATGAGGTTGTACATGTTCTGGGAACCCCCTAAGTAGCTCTGGGGGGAGGCGGGGGCCCCCAGAGGCACCGTGCGCCGCGCAACAGTGCGGAAACGGGGCTCCGGCTCTACTAGTCTCTACTAGCACCGACTTCCCGAATGATCACGGTTGATCAGAGGGCAGATTTGGAGAGATCTCGAGGAGTACATACAGATAGACCCTCTAATCATAAGAAACTTCGAACCTGATCGGTCGTACTGACCGCCGACAGATCACTCCAGACAGCAGACAGGCCGACGTCTGCACGCGGCCGGCCGGGCGAGAGGCTTGACACGATCCGACCCTGCGACCCTGACGCTGCTGCTCTAGCTATCAGACATGCGCTGCTGACTGCTGCCACAATGTGCGACCGGTGCTGACCCACTTGGCGGCCTTCCCGGTCAGTGGTGAGGCGCAGTTCAGAGCTGTCGATGGCGCGATGCCGCACTGGTCCCACATCGGTGACACGAGACCACCACGTTTGCCGGTCCAAGAGAGAGGCACCGGCGCTGTCCTGAGAAGGTGCATGGTCCCTCTTGACTGCCCATGCGCGCGAGGCTGTGTAGGCATAGCCTCGAGAGTGCCAGCAGCCAGTCGCCGAGGCAGTTTGTGACGCGCATTGCGTCAGAAGCGTGCACGCGCTGGAAGGACACCTTCCTACTGGCCGTACGATCAGGTCGTCACTGAATGCCGAAGACTAAGGCCGCGAGCTATGCAGGCGGTCAGTTGAGCAGCATGGCACGGTCAGCAGCGCCGAAAGGATGTCGCAAGGCGTGATAGCATGGCCGCAAGTACGCCGAATTCCCATGAAAACAAGTATAAAAAATTGCCCGGAAAAAATGAAAAAAATCGCCTCTGCGGCGGGCTGGGGGACCCCATCTCCCCCCCGCATGGGTACCCCCTAGGGCCCTCGCCTCCCCCCAGAGCTAAGTGGAGAGAGAGTTTTGTTCTAAGTAGTAGGAGGAAGGACCACAGCCCTCACTCACTCACAAACCAAATGACGTGTGATTGTTTGGTATTAAAAATCTCTCTCTGTCTCTCTCTCTCTCTCACACACACACACACTCTCACTCACCCCCAATAATTGTCACAAAACAATAAATATCTCTGTCTAAGCAAGCAAGTGCTTGCTTGTCTCAAGGCGTGTGCCGCACCCTCCAGGGGTGCGCGCCCGTCGCATCTTCCCGTGCCCACTTGAACGTGCCCCAAAACGGCGCTGCTTTTGTACTACGATTTGGGCTGGTATTTGGAGTCACTGCGAAAGTTGAAATCGGCCGACGGACGCGGGTCTGGAAAAAGCAGCGTACGCCTGTCGAGGCATCCCAGCACCATGTCGATTTCTCTGGCCCCGGGGGAGATGGGGTACACAGTAAGCAAGGGTGTCCCGACGCTCGTCAAAGGGCCCTACGAGGGGCCTGGCTTTCCACTCACAAAGCTTGTCGCTGACGCCTACGACTACATGGAGGGGGAGGATCCCAGCGGCTCCATCAAATCGGAGATTGGGCCTGTGACCAAGTGCGATGGCTAGGCGTAGTATGGAGACACACAGCACTGTGCACGAGCCGACCCCTCCTGATGATGTTCAGATTCGTCACGGACGCTGGCATGTGCCCCATCTCCGGCACCATCTACAAGGTCAAGGCGGCCTTTAACGTGGTGGCGGGCCAGTTCATCAGCACGATGTCTGCAGATGGCACGAAAGCAGTCGTCCTCGGGCCAAAACTGTGTGGTCCTGCCCGCCCGCCACGAACCCCCACCCCCCCCCCACCCACCCACCCACCGCCCCTCCCACCCACCTGCCCGCGGTTCACCCGCGGGACCGACAGACCACCGCCCCTCGCTTACTCTCTGACTCTCCCCCCCCTCCCCAAACTAATACCCACGAAGTTACGCTCCGCCGACGGACACGGTCGTTCTGGCAAACTCGTGGAGCGACCCTCTGGGCAGCCCTGACCCGGTGTCCTACACCTTTGTGCCGACCACCCCGACGAGGACGACCTTCAAGGTTGGGCCCCTCGCGGACAACCTAGTGAAGGACGTGACCGTCACTTGGTTTGCGGTCCCGGAGAAGTTCTCCACTAGCACGTGCGAGGACTTCTTTGGGGAGCTTGCGTCGTTGATGTTGGTAGACATCACGAAGTACTCTGGGGATGTGGCCGCCATGACGGCAAAGGACTTCCCCAGCATCGCGCCGTTTGCCAAGAAGGTTGGCTTTACCATCGATGGCATCGCCCCTGGGGGCACCTCGCCGGCCAAGGGGAAGATGTCGAGCGATGAGAAGAGCGCGCTGCTGATGCTGGCACAGAAGTACCAGATGGAGAGCGAGCTCCAGACTATGATTGCGATGCAGGCGCGGCTCTGCCATGCGGCAGAAACGACTCCAAACAGCGAAAACCTCTGACACGTCCAGCGGTTGGCGGGTGTTGCCTCGCGCGATCTCGCCCC